TAATTCCAGAGAAGCTGCAGTATGCCTTTAGTCATTTAAGTTTGTCCCCAGGATCATGGGTAATATTGAAAACATATGAACATGCTGTTACCGTAGGGATAAATTAAGATTAGATTTTTGTTACTTCTGCCATCATTTATGTATGAGGTACAGCAGTTGAAATGTAATGGTGAAATAAAAAGAAGGAATAGTTGTCAGGAAATTTGAAAAGGTGCAAATAGTGCAACTCTGGTCATTTGAGGGTGAGCGATCAGGTAAATGAATAAGTGAATTTAAGCTTTTAGGAGAAAGTTTTCTGTGTGGTGGGAAGTGTCTTAATTGACTAGAACCATTCCGTTTGCATCTAACTCTTCCTGCCTTTTTAAAGCCATTGTAAACAAGCTTGGTCTGTAATTAACCAAAATATTTGCTGTTTCTGAATAACTATGGATTGAGGAGATAAAAGAAGATATAATTAGAAAATTGCTTTAGGATTCTGGTCAGCCTCCAACCCTTGCGAAAACATCTTACTAATAATTTAATAAGAAGGAGCCCATGAATGTGTAGAGCTCTGCATGGCGCCTTGAGCATTAGAGATACTGGGAGACTCTAAAGCTTTCTTAGGTCTTGCTACCTTGTGCACTCTTGTGTTACCTTTCTTATTTATACGTTACTCTCCACATCCCTGTGCTTTTACTGGCTTGCTTCATGGGGCTACCAGAAGGAGTAAAACATGCAGTCCTTAGTAGAATTAATGTATGAGCAGAAATATAAATACTGGTTAACCTTTTCACCCCTGCCATGATTACTTTCCCCACAACAACCTTGTTTTATCAAAAATAGTTAATTAATTCCTATTTCCTCTTTCCTTTCCTCCTTTCATGTGTTCTCCCTTTTGACATTCCTTTCCTTGTCTTAGCTTTCCCTCTCTTTCAGCAGGGTCTCTGTAGCCCAGGCAAGCCAGCAGTCCTGCCTTAGCCTACCATGTATTGCAGTTTACAATAATGAGTTACCATGCTCAGCTGTTCTGTTATACAGAAAATAATTCTTGAAAACCCACTATGTGGTCAAGACTGTACTTGGCCCTTGATATAGTTCTAAATATGTTATTGACCTTGTGAGACTTGAAAGCCTTTCTAAAATCCTGTCTTATGTAAATGTTCACCTGGTCTCTTAGTCTCATTTTGGATTGGAAACATTAGAAGCAGAGTATATACAGATAATGCTTTAGTGCGTGTAACAGCTCCAGAATAGTGAATTTAGGGAAAAAGAACGTTGAGAAATCAAAGGCAAAGTTATCTGTGGGGTAGTAGGTTAAGAATTGACTCTTTCAAGTATTCTTGATGCTGTTCAGTATAGTCAAGGATACAGTTAATGACAGCACTGGGGTATGTTCACTTATCCTATTGAGAACCATGAAATTTATAACAATTTATTATTTACTCTTCAAATACATATATTTCTTTGAGATTTTTGGGATTTTATTACATAACAACTTTTAGATTAGATTTATTCATATAATTACTATATTCATGGAAGCAAATATTCTTTGCTTATTAAATGATTTCAAATCATTCACACTAAATAGAAAAAGAACATATAATTTCCTAATACTCATACAGCATTGTGATTTTACTTTTTCTATATAGGCTATATAATCACTAGTATAACTCTGAAAGGTAATTGTTTCTATTTTAATATGAGCAGATCTTGGATCATGAAATTAATGCATCAAAGTACTCTGTAATAAAATCTATTAATTTAAAAAGACATGAATGAAACATTTGCTTGGGCTAACCACATAATTTTCACATGCTTGGTTCATAAAAATAGTTATTGCTAAGCAAATAACTTTTAATTACAGTTAGTATTAATGGAGTAGCTGTTACTATTTTCTACTGTAGATAAAAAATGCATTTCTTTGAAGTTAAGTGATTTAACCAAGATTACATCGTTTGTAAGTGCATAAAAAAACAAAACAGGCATGGGCATGCAGTTATGTTGTTGCCTTCAAAGCCATGGAACATATAATCTGTATTAATTTTTTTTAGTCAATATATAATCCTCTCACTTTCTTTGCCAGTGTGGCCAAGACAGACTTTGAATTCCTGATCCTTTTGATATACCTCTGGGATTATAGGAGTTAACCACCAAGATGGCAGAACGAAACTATCGCCTTTACCCTAAGTCTGTCATCCTGAGATACAATCCAGTGAATGAAATGTGTATATCCACCTGAGATTTGTATGTTGAAATCCTAGTGCCCTGCTGCAGTTAGGAAGTTGAACCCTGGGAAGGTACTTAGGTCATGAGGATGGCCCCCTCCTGAAGGGATAGTGAGAGGGTCATTTGTCTAGTTCTGTTTCTCCACCATGGGAGGATATAAAGGGAAGGGGGCCTCATTCAAACTCCGCTAAATTTACTCTGACCTTATTTTGGTTTTTAAGACTCTTACCCAGTGTTTCTGTTTCATGACAGTTTGGATTTAAAACACAAAACTGTTTTATTTATTTATTTACTTACTTACCTATCAAGAAACTTTATGATCTACAAAGTCTACTTTGACATTTATCTGAGACTTGTTCAGAAAAAGTTTACCAAACCCCAGGCTAATAGGGAAAGAAGAAACTAGAATCTCTCATCTCATTACCAGGGGATCTTTGACCCAATAGAAGTTAGAGTTCTCTGATTGCAACATTGTAGCACGTGAGTGTTACTATCTCAGGACCTGAAAAGGCCTTCTTACTGTTTTTAGTTGGCCTGGGAAGTAACACGCTGTTTAGAGGAACTATGTTTTCAGCAACTATTTACAAAGAGACTGCATTTCTTCTATACGTTGAGGCCCTGTTGAATGCAGCCTTTTTCCCTTTTCTGTGGGAACAGAGACCTGGCTTTTGTACTTGCTGTGTTCCTAGTGCCTGAGATAGAACCTGAGAAAAAGGAGCTTTTAGTTGATTCCTGTTGATGAGTGAACTGGGAGAAGATTCCACTCTTAACAGCAAATTGTACTTAGGAAGTTTGTAATGCCTCTCTAAAGTAGTCCTTCTAAGTCTTAATCCTGAGAGTTATTTAGAGAGGAGTAACTAACCACTTGTCACTTGAGGAATTCTTTGGTTCCTAACATTTTTATGGACTTTCCTCTTTGTCTCTGCAAGCTCCAGAGGTTCTAAATTATCTTATCTTAAAGGTTGTTAGGAATTTTTGTGATCTTCTCAAACATTGTTAAATGATTAACATGTTTTCATCCCTTATTCATTATAGATACAATTTAGAACAACAAAGCAATATTACAGAGTAGCAGTAGTGACCTACATGAGGCCTTTATCATTTTTTTGTAAAGGATCTGATCTCTCTTAATGGTAGACTTTCGTTTTACTTTTAAGGTTGATGTGTAAGTCATTAATACAGTCCATTGCCAACCCACTTAAAACTAAATTGAATTTGTAAGAGATGAAGGTAGAAATGAAGGGGATGGTTTTAGCAGGTTTCAGCATCAAAGGAAAGGGAATTAGTTTTGGTGCCGTGCTTCTTGGGGTATCAGCACTGTCATGGCCAACACCAAATAGTACAGTGAAGGGAGGTAGACTAGAAACGAAATGTAGAGCAGGACAGTTTCATTTGGTAAGGAAAACACTAATTACAGCAAGTAGTTGAGTTCTTTTTTAAAATCTCAAATGAAGTTACAGTGGCTTCTAAACTAAAATTATAATGTGATTTTAAAGATTCTGTTTTTTTATTTAAAACAAAATGTTAAAATTATTAATAGCTTGAGAAATTTTGTGTTGTTTTGAGAGATTGATAAACTACTTCAGAACTGTACATGGGCTTTGGCCTGCTCTTGTAAAGCAAATGAACTATGATAAGTTTTTCTACTCTTAGACTTTCAGTGGAATTTAATATTGTGTGTGCACTTAGGTGTACATGCCACAACACACATGTGGAGGTAAGAAGACAAGTTTGTGAAGTTCGTTTTCTCCCACCTTTCCGTGGCAGTGGGAGATCAAACTGAGGTCATCAGGCTTGATTACCTGCTGAGCCATCTTGCTGGTCCTGTTTCAACAGTATTGAGCAGTTTAATTATGATATGTCTTTGTCTATTTTCTTTATGTTCCCTCTGCTTGAAATCTTGAAATTTGACTTGCTGTTTTTATTAAATTGGTAATGCTCACTTCATGTCATATAGTGCTTTTTAACCTGGCTGTAAGGAAGGATATTCTTCCTCCAGGTTTGCTCCTGATCCATGGCTTCTTTCCTCCTTGTTCTGCTGGCTGTCCCACAAGCTCCTTTACCAGATCTTCAGAGTTCTTTTTCGGGGTAGTGTCTTTCTCTAGTAATTCATGGTCTCTAGACTTTTAGCTTAACTCAGTTTGCCTAGATTTTCCCTCCCTGTTACAGTGCCTGGGAAACACTTAAGGCAGTTAGCAAGTAGGGCTTGCGTGGCTGCTTCTCATTTTTCAGGAATCATTGTTCTCTATTGCATATGTCAAGAGTTGTGAAACCTATACCCTAAATCTTATGTTTTGGGCTAATTAAAGCTGGACAGTATACTTGATCTCTGTTGCCATCTAATAACTAAAAATGAAAGTTTTTATGTTGAGATTTATGATTTTGTGGTTGAATAATTCCAGGTGATACACAGTGTTGGACAATAAGTATATATGAGTGCAGTGGGAACATGAAGGGAATTGAACTTTGAAGTTAACTAAATGCATGGATTTCAGGGTGAAGGGTTAGACTATAAACTGAGAACCAACTTTGTGGAGGTTTGACACACCTTGTTTTCTGTTTGATTACGTTAATATTCTTAAACTTACATTAGCCAGGCGGTGGTGGCGCACGCCTTTAATCCCAAAACTCAGGAGGCAGAGGCAGGCGGATCTCTGTGAGTTCGAGGCCTGCCTGGTCTACAAGAGCTAGTTCCAGGACAGGAACCAAAAGTTACGGAGAAATCCTGTCTCGAAAAATCAAAAAAAAAAACAAAAACAAAAACTTACATTAAATTGTTTTGCATTTTTTACCAGATCCTTCTGATAACTTAAGAGAGATTCTCCAAAATGTGGCCAAATTACAAGGTGTATCAAATATGAGAAAGCTGGGCCATTTGAATAACTTCACTAAGGTAAGCAGCTTGAAACTATACTGTTATATTCTTTTTCTTGACTCGATAAACATTTCCTATTGATCATTAAGAAGAAATTTTGAATACTAACTTACTGAGTTACTGAATTATTTGCTTGTGGTTTTCTAATTTTTCTCATTGATTTCGTCCTGTTTTAAATTTCTGAGTTTACTGTTGTCTATGCTGATCCCAGAACCTCTGGGCACCTGCCCTCTCCCTGAGGGAGTGGAGCTGCAGTCACACATCACCATGCTTTGCTAGCAAATGCATTTAAATAATAGGAGTATGTTCGTATTGTAGAAAGTTCGGTAGGCTCAGAAAACAAAATAGAAATGAAACGAATCACTAGGAAGCCTATAATCCAGTCTTTTATTGGCATAGTATGTTGGTGACAATATTAATTTGTTAAGTATTTAGAAACAAACGTAGTTCTCAGAGACCTGTTTGTATTTTCTTTCACTTACTTACCCTGATTATTTATTCTCACAATTTGTACCTAAATTCGAGCTCAAGTGGAATGCATTTTCTGGTTTTATTCCCTTTTACTAAATATCAGTTTTATTTTGCTGATCTTTACATGACTCAGATAAGCCCACTTGCCTAAGTTAAACGATTAAAAACAATTTATTAGGCTTAGGAATGCTGTCATAACTGGCATTGGACACCTCAGTGTGTTGCTCTACCTGTCCCAGTATGTTTTGGAAACTAGGGATAGTTGTAAGGATGGCTGTGCCTGTTCTTGCCAACACTCTGGAGCCAGCTTAGTCCCAAAGCAGAAGAGTGTTGTCTAGTGGGGATCAATGTGAGCACTTAAAAGAGGCACGTGAACTTCATTTTGTAGTTTGCACTGTACTTTTCCAGATGATTGCTGTTTGACGTATCAGACATAAATATCATTTGACTGTTTATACCGCATCTTCATAAGTAAATGAATATTTTATACTTAGACATGTCTCAGTTCCTGCTAGCTATGTTTCTAGTATTAATATCCAACTGTGACAGCCAACTGCCAGTCCTTGGGTGGTACTGGATAGGACTTCTGGAGTGGGGTTGATTTAGCCTTTCACTTTTAGGGCAGTACTGTTTCTCCTTTCTCTGCTCCTGTGTTTTTTGTTTTTTGTTTTTTGTTTTCTGTGCAGGTCCAGGCATTGGTGTGTGGGTGTTAGTTTCTTTATTCTCCTTCCTCTCATTCTTTCTGGCTTCGTCTCACTTCATTAGTTTTTTTCTCTACTTGGTCTGTGCATCTTAGATTGTATTCTCAAATGATCTTCTCTCTTTCCTTACCGTCTTTGGGCTGTCCCCTACCCACAATCCCTGTCCTTCCCTTCTGCTCCATTCTTCTCTCCTCTCTTTTTCCTAATTCTCCTGTGCTTTGTTTTTCCTCCTCTCAACGTGTGGGAATTTCACCACTGTATAGTGATTTCTGTGATGAAGGCCCAAGTGTGTGTGTTTTGTATTTTTAAACCATATTTTAAAAGTAACTTTTACCTTTTTGTGCTAACTTATTATTGCCTGTCTTCAGGCCCTTGTGGATTGGGAGACCAGGTAGTCAGACTGGGTAGAAAATGTCTACAGGAAGAAGTTCAGAGTTAGGTCTAAAGCACTGCCTCATAAATAAACTCATTAACTTAAACATGATAAAATTTACTGTGACTATTTAATAATATAGGAGAAGCATGAAACTTTAGTTCAAAATTTACAGTCCAACAAGTAAGTAAGTATCAAAGCAATCCTGGGGAAATTCACAGAATATTAATGTCTTCAGATGCAGAGCACTGAGCTTGTGAGATAGCTCTGTAGCACAATGTATGGCAACTTGGGACTCATTTTATTTGGATTTTAATGTTTACCTGTTTGCTACTTTTTCGTTAACTCCAAGAAGATAAGCCTGTTTAATAGTTGAATTGTAGGCTGTTAATCAGGGTTTTTCAGTGTTAGCTCTCTTGACTTAGCAGGTAATTATTTTGGAGAAAGGCTAAGCCTTGTTTCTGGCTCTGCCTACTATATAGCAGAAATATTTACTTAACACACCTGAGTGATAAGAAAAAAGGTCCCCAGGAAAACCAAATGTTCCCAGGAGATAAAATGCCCCTATTTAAGAACAAGTGCTCTTCCAAGTAAGTGCGTGTGGATTTTGTTAATAAAATTCACTTGTTTACCAAGCACAAGCATATACTGAATTTAACTGTAATAGTAAGCTTCTAATCCATATTGTTAGAGAGTTAGGTGTAAAAGTATGTATTGAGCTGGCATATCTTATAAAGGCTGTATGTATATGTTCTTAGTCTAATTTAGAGGTTTTCAAAAGTCTCTTAAGAATGGCTTGATTGGCTAAGAAAATAAAAAGATAGTAATTATAATTCTAGAGCTAGTGGATATTCTCTTTACATTAGAACACACACACACACACACTTTCTCTCTGCGTTTTAGCTCTTATTGCAAGCTAGAGGGTACTAACCCTTTAAACTAAGGTTTTCAGACAGATGAAGTATTCTGCGAGTTTCTACTCTCCAACTTTTCTTTACCCCAACATCTATCCTGTACCAGACTTTTAAGAGAAGGAGCTTGTGGTGTGATCTTTTCATCATGTGACTGCCACACACCATACTTTCCCTCTGACATCACTAGATAGAACAGTGTGTATAGCAGACTGATGATGAATATAACCTCAGTGTTCTATTTTTAAGACAGGCAACATGTTCACAATCTAGAGACCTGTCTTCTAAAGATGAGAATGCTCTGAAAGTATCTTTATTTGCTATTTTATATATTTATTATATATGTGTATATAATTTGCTATTTTATAACTTTATTCACTTAAACTTTTAGTGTGTGTGTGTATTATAAAATGTGAAAATGGTTTAGAAATTTTACAGTAAAAAGAGAAATCCTTTTCTCATTTATCTCCTTCCCCCTCTCAAGCACTCTACCATTTTACCAGAGGTTGTGATTAGAAGGCACTGACCTTTTCTGGTAACAAACAATGTGTGAATATGTTTATGTATATGGTTTATTTATATAAGAATTAAACAAACTAGCCAGGTGATTGCGGCACACACTTTTAATCCCAGTTCTTGGGAGGCAGAGACTGGCGAATCTCTGTGAGTTCCAAGGCCAGCCTGGTCTAAAACACGAGTTTAAGATATAAATCTCTTTTTTATATATATTTGTCTATATGTGTTGTGTGTATATATAAATTCCCTTCTTTTTTTTTTTTTTTTTTGGTTTTTCGAGACAGGGGTTCTCTGTGGCTTTGGAGCCTGTCCTGGAACTAGCTCTGTAGACCAGGCTGGTCTCGAACTCACAGAGATCCGCCTGCCTCTGCCTCCCGAGTGCTGGGATTAAAGGCGTGCGCCACCACCGCCCGGCTATAAATTCCCTTCTAAGACTTAGGCTTGGTGGTGCAGTCTGTAATCCCAGCTGCTTTGAAGGCTGAGACAAAAAGATCTCAAGGGCTTGGAATTAATGAGATGACTCAGTGGGTAAAGGCATTGCTGCCAAGCCTAAAGGCTTGAGCTCAGTCCTAGGAACCAAGTGCTGGAAGGAGAGACCTGACATGTGGTTGCTGGGAATTGAACCCAGGTCCTCTGGAAGAACAGCTAGTGCTCTTAACCACTGACCCATCTTTCCAGCCTGCAAAGTTTTATTTCAAGATAGATACAAAGGAAACCACAGTGGAATAGAGTAAGACTGCTGAAGACCAATGATGAGAAAAAAAATCTTTAAAAGATTCTGAGTTAAAAAGACATGTTTCCAAAGAGCAGACAGCAAGACTTAACAACCAAGTGGCTTGAAATGTTAGGAAGAAGTAGCAGCTAAACTAAAATTCAATATAGTCACCAAAATGTACCGTCAAAAGTGAAAATAAAATCATTTCCAGACAAATACAAACATGGAGAACTGTTAACTACTAATCTAGGCAAAAATCTAGTCTAACACCAGCAAACAGTGTCAACATTAACAATAGCTTTTGACCAATGAGGAAAAAAATGTGGCATTACAGAAGAATAATGAAGGGTGAATGAATATGGGTGTTAATATAAATTATTGATTATGTATGGATTGAGACAATCATCAGTTAATAGTATTGATATCTTATGCATTTTGAAGATTAAAAAAAAAACTTACGGGACATGAGGGTTAAGAGTAAATAAAGTCAATGTAATGTGAGCTTCCAGCATTGAGGATGTGGTAAAGAATCATACATTAGAGGAACCAGTAATGCTTGGAAAGACAGTTGCAGCCACTGAGAATGATAAGTAAGTGATACATTGGGGAAGAGAAACAGAATAAGAGACAGTAATTCAAAAAGGGAAAAAGAGTTAAATCTAAAATTGTGGTTAATAAAAGTAAGATGGTGGAAATAATGCAGCACATTTTTGTATGTAAAAAGATAGGTTTTTTTTACAAATTTATTAAAGAAGAATTCCCTATTTTAAGCCTTACATTGTACATATAAATATATAAATCTAAATTTATATGCAAGGTATTTTTGTGTTTCTTCTAACAGCTTCTTTGTGATATTGGCCATAGTGAAGAAAAACTGGGCTTTAATTATGAAGACATCATAATTTGGTAAGTTTAGTTCAGTCTTCCTCCCTTATTTTAGTAATTTCCATTGTAACAATTTAAATAAAAGGTAGGATAAACAGCATCACATGCTTATTTCTGTAGAGTTGATGGTTGGCCAGAAGAGAAATACTGGGTCTTCAGTGACTTTGTTATGTCATGAGCCTTAGTTGAGCTTTTGTGGTTGCTGGATATAAAGAACTGAAATTGCTGTTCAAAAATACCCAGACTTCTCTAAAGGTTAAAATTAAATATTAAATCTGCAGACTGAATTTTTCTGACTCTTCCCAGGAATAATACAAATCAATAAATCTAGATTTTACCTATGAAAGTATGTGCGTGCCTCTTACAAGTTTGTTGTATGGTAATAGGTTATTAATCATTACTGCTTTTTGACATTCTTAAGAGTTAAGATTACTAGTGATGTGTGTTTGCTACTGTTAAAGAGTTTGTTATTAATTTAAATCAATCCTTTGGGATTTGTGGAAGCATAGAAACAAAGGATACATGGCAGAAACATATCTAAAGATACACTTTGGAAAGACTCTATGTGATTTCTTCTTGTAGTTACACAATGTGCCAGAACATGATTAAAACTCAACATTGACTAGATTATTGAGACTGGAACAAACACAGGTTAACAACATTACCAAGTGAAACTCTTTACTTTGGAGTAGTTTTTTGTTTGTTTGTTTTTATAGAATTAATCTTACATAACCGAAAGTTTGGGATATCCTCAACTGGGGAAGAACTTGATGTGGGTGAATACCTAAAAGTCTGAAAAAATCTGGATTGCTCCAAAGTCTGAGACTTTGTTAGTTATTTTAAGTGTTCAAAAAGATTAGCGTTCTAGAATTACAGATAAAAAATACTCAACTTTTGGACTTGAAAGTAGTCCAGTTTAAAAATACCAAGAATCAGAAATACTTTTCTTCCTATGCATTTCAGATGAGGGCTAAGTAAACTCTTCTGAAATTTTGTATGTCTTTGAAACTCATGTAATAATGAACTTTTTTGTTTGTTTTCATGCAGTTTGCGCTTAGCTTTATTAAATGAAGCAAAAGAAGTGAGAGCAGCAGGGCTGCGAGCGCTGCGCTATCTCATCCAGGATTCCATTATTCTACAGAAGGTGCTAAAATTGAAAGTGGACTATTTAATAGCTAGGTAAGTTTCCAAGAATTGCTTATGTTTTGTATGTTTTTAAAGTTTTTTGTTCAGTTTTAGTATAGTATCAAATGTGTATAGATTCTTTTGGTGTAAAGTGTGACAGTTTTTGCAAACATATATGATCATGTTAGACTAAGGGCATTTGTAGCATAACAGGAATTCTCCATTATATCTCTAAGCAATTGTAAAATAGTTTTCTCCTTATAGAATAGTTTCCCTGTCCTTGCATTTCACATTCTATATTAATATATATAATTAATATATCTAAGTATACATCAGTTATTCTTTTCTGATTATTTGTAAGGTTCTTCCATGTTGATATACTTTTTGTCTTTTAAATTTATTTTTGCTATGTAGTATTTGGTTTTAAGATTAGAACACAGTTGAAGGAGGATGCCCTGAAATTTTTGTGCAACTCTGTGAGGCTCTCATTTCTTACAAACGGGTGTAGAAATAGAAATGTTGGAACAAGATGCATGTGTGTCTAGCCTTGAGAGATATTGCTGTATGAATTTTTTAAAGATATGGCACTAATATAATACTTCAGAGACCTTGACTTGGTTTGTGAGCTCTCTTTGTATTTACTATAGTTGTGTGGTTGTTTCTTTGAATGTGTGTGTATGTTTGTTTATGTTGTTTTGTTTTGACATGGTCTCAATACATATTCCAGGCTGACTTCAGACTTAGGGTTCTCTTGCCCCAATCTCTTGAGTGCTGGGGTTACAGACATGCACCAACATATACGGCTTAGATTTTGTAATGACATCAATGATTAAAATTTTTTTTTACTGTTTTTAGCCACTAAGATATAGAAAATAGGGCATATTGTCTTCTTCCGTAGCGATCTTGGCAAATTCAGTTTATAGTTCTTCTAGTTTGCAGATTATATTGTGCTTCCTATGTACATAAGCATTAATGGCGAATGATGACTCTTATTTCTTCCAATACTTTTAGCATCCTTTGTTACACTGCTGAGAACCTTATTGAATTGGAATGTTCTTGAGTTCAGGTGCTTATTTTTCCAGGGTTATTCTCCATTTCCCTTTTAGAAGTAGTTGTCCAAAGTAAGTTTTTTAGTCTTTATGGTTGATTTTGGCAGGAGAATTGGTTATAATCCAAGTTAATAGCCAATAATATAAATCTCGTCTGCATGTGTATATGTGTGTGCCTGCGTATGTTGTATTGCTGAACTTGAATAAGCAGAAAATCTAGCTCTCCCTCACTTACTTTTTAATTATCTTTAGACAAAACAAAAATGGCTTTGAATAATAATTTACCTACCTATAAAATATTTGGTAAAATACTCAACTCCCTAATGTAAATATTTGAAAAGTAATTTTGTTGAAGTGATACTGGATCAAATGTTTTTAAAGAGAATTCTGGATGCAAATTCTTTAGTAAAATAGAATTTTTGTTGTTTTGTTTTGAGACAGGCTCTCACTATATAGCTCTGGCTGTCCTGGAACTTGCTTTGTAGACCAAGCTGGCCTTGAACTCACAAGAGAACCATCTACCTCTGCTACCCAAGTGCTGGGATAAAGATGCACCACTATGCTAAAATAGGATTTTTAACATTGAATAAGACAGTTATTATAGATACAATTTAAACCTTGATTAAAACAAACTAGAACAAGGTGGAAATATTTTCCTATATAATTTATATACATTACTGTAATTTTTTATCAGGTAGGTAAAATTTTTCAGTATATCTCTGATACTTTGCTCTGTGCATCTGTTGTGATATCTTTATTTATAGATATATCACCTCATTTTCCCTTGATATTTTAACCGATGTTTCTGGTAACATTTATCACTAGATCTATATAATTAAGTATTGGCTGTTACTGGGAAAGCATATAGTACAATTTTTTTTTTGAAGGTTTAATTCACTGTATTGGATTGTGAAGGTAAATTGGAGCCAACATTCTGTAAGGTATTGTTACGTGGGATTTCTCAGTGACTGATGTTTTGTACTATATAGGTGCATCGACATCCAGCAGAGCAATGAGGTGGAGAGGACACAAGCACTTCGCCTAGTCAGAAAGGTACGCACCACGTGTGAGAGCACAAAGGCAAATGAGTGCTTCCATATCTAGTTGATTAGAGAATATTTTTATTAAAATTTAAAGAATGAATTTTCATTAAACATTTAAATTTTGTTATGAGGTTAGTAAATCTGTTAAACATAATAAGCATGATTATTTGTGTAATTAGTCTATGTGATTTGATAGCTTCTTAGAAAATGATTATGCTGAGAAGTATTTTTGTCCATAGTGGGCATGTAAGTGTTATTACTGCTTTGTCATCCCTTAATGTGTACTTCTTCTAGCTACTAGTATAAAATATCACAAACAGGAAGTTACTGCTTTCAAGATAAGTTTGTACACAACCCATGGGTGTAGTATGGAGGAGCGGGCTGCATCCCACTGCCTGGCTAGCTTAACTCCCAAAATAACCACACAGAAATTGTATTAATTTAATTACTACCTGGCCCATTATATCTAGCCTCTTCTTGGCCCACTCTCACATCCAGATCTAACCCATTTCCGTTAATCTGTGTATCACGACGAGGTTGTGACTTACCAGGAAAGATTCACATCTCTGACCTGGCGACTTCATGGCAGCTCTTCCTGTCTGCCCTCCTCCTCCCAGCATTCAGTTCTGTCTTCCCACCTATCTAAATACTGCCCTATCAAAAGGCCAAGGCAGTTTCTTTATTTAACCAATGAAAGCAACACAAATACAGAAGGACCTTCTCACACATGGGAACGTGTGATAAACAATTTCAGCAGATAGCTTTGCTGTATACAACGCCACAGTTTAAGATGAGTGAAGGATTTGATTCAAGACAATGCACAAAGCTTCTGAGATTCCCTCACAGATTTTACTTTCAGTTGTTGATGTGATGGTCAAGAAAGTAAATTTGGTTGGGACACATCCTAAGACAATCATTTCTTTTCCTTTGAGGGAAACTAATTCATAAAACTAATGCAGGATATGTTTCCGAATGGGAAGATATCTAGTCCTGTTATTACTGGTATTTTAAAACTGGGTCTTGCCATGTAGCTCTAGCTGAACAAACTACATTTTGGAGCCCAGAGTGGCCTCAAGCTCTTTATTCTCCTGCCTCAGCCTCCCTAATGCTGGAAATGCAGGTGTTTACCACTACATTCACTTACATACACATAAAATTTTTCAATAATTGAATTTATTAGCTATGTCTTCTTTTCCTTGTCTTTAAATTTATTGCATGTTTCAGATGCTAGATTACAGAATTAGTATACTGTTTTCTCCTTTCCCTCTTTTTTTTTTAAACATAGTAAGAAATAAGGAAATGGACGAGTTTTTTTTAAAGAAGATTGAAATTCCAATGAAAGTGATATTGGAGCGTGTCTTAGTCAGTGTTTCTATTGCTGTGAAGAGACACCATGACCATGACAATTCTTATAAAAGAAACATTTAATTGGGGTGGCTCACAGTTTCAGAGGTTTGTGGTACATTGCAGCATGCAGACAGACATGGTGCTGGAGAAGCATCTGGGAATTCTGCATCTTAATTCACAGGCAACAAAACTTAAATTGCCACTAGGTTTAACTTGAGCATAGGACACCTCAAAGCCCACTCCCACAGTGACATACTTTCTCTAGCAAGGCCACACCTACTCCAACAAAGTCACACCTCCTTATAGTGCCACTCCTAGTGCGGTCATTTCCTTTCAAATTGCCACAAGGATAGGCTTTGAAACTTTTGTTTTAAGTAAAATATTAGAAGAAAAGTAACTGACATACTCCATAATTAGTCATGGGTTAAGCTACCCTAAAGCTAAAGAAGCTAGGTTTTCAAACATGTGTGAAGGCACATAAAAAGTCTGAGTAATTATCTTTTCTTCTCATTTACATACCTCATTTATTCGACCTTTTTCTTCAGTGTCTCTGATCTTTTTTTTTTTTTTTTTTTTTGCTCTTTTCATCTGGTATTTCTTTCTGGTTTTGTTGTACATGTTTTCTGCATAGTCTGTTCCTGCTCTCCTTTTCATTTAAATTCTACTAGGGTTGGCAAGATGATGGCTCAATTAATAAAATCCTTGCTGCATAAGCATTAGGACCAGAGTTCATATCTCTAGTAAAAATGTGAATATGGCATAATCCCAGTGCTGCAGAAAGGGTAAGACAGATCCCTGGGGTTCTTGCCCAGCCAGTTTAACTGAATCACTGGGCTCCAGGTTCAGTGAGAGACCCTGTCTCAAATCATAAGATGAACAGTAACTGAGGAAAACATCCAACATTGACCTCTGGTTTCCACATAGTGGGACCTGTACACATATACATACCCCTTCAAATGTACACATACATAATACTATATATTCTGCTTCTTGCCATGCTAGCTTATCTTTGCTATATTCATATGGAATGTCTTTATTCATAAAATAAGAATTAATACTATCGGGGATTAATACTATTAATATTAATAGGAATTTATACTGTCGTTTTCTGTTCTTTGTACCTGTAAGATTTCATTTGTTGGAATTAGATGCCCTCATTATACTATAACACTAGATAGTGGGAAAGCCAGAATGAGAACTCAGTGTCCAGATTTCCAAAACTACATTGACTAATAGGTGTTAAGTACAACCTGCCTACTTTGGTCCTGCCAAACATTTCTATCTAAGCTGTCATCTTATGACACCATACATGTAGTATGCAAAATACCACCATTACCACAATTACTGCTTGCTTCTCATTTCCTCCTCTTTCCACCCTCCGTTCACCTTCCAGTCACAACACAAATTTTACCTTTTTTTCTAAGATCACTGTGTGTATCTGCTTTGTGTCAGTTGTGTGGATTTATTGTCTAGGCTTGCTCCTTGCTTTATGTGTCTGTTCGTGCCAGAAAAGATGGCTATAAATAGTGGCCACAAAGTATCAGACATTGTAGGACTTTTCCTTTATTGAGGTTAGACAAATAAGTGAGGAAAGCATCCTTCGATCTCATTGACTCTGAGAGTTTCTTCACTTGCATCTCCCTGGAAAATATAAACCATAATTTCTATTTATAAAATTTAATTTTATGTATTTGGTCCATAATCTATTTAATAGATAAAGAATGTTTTTAGTAGCCATATAAGATTTTAGGTAGAATTTCTTTCTGTATTTGAAATTGTTGGCACAATTTCATTGTTTACATCTTCATTTTCCATGTAAGCAATCTCACTCAAAAAGAGGATTGACTTGGCAAAGAAAATATACTTTATTACTTAGTAGTCTGTTTAATTTGGAAAACTAAATTATCTTAGCTCTTTTAGAAATATATCACATGAAATTTATTTCTAGATAATTCTTTAAATGTTTTTAATTTTTAAAATTATATATATATATATATATATATATATATATATATATATATATATATATATGTATAGAGGGCAAATGCTATGTGCACATGGTTGCAGGTACAGAAGCCAGAGGTGATGGATTCCCCAGAGTTGGTCTTGGGGAATGAGTTTGGGTCCTCCAGAAGAGTAGCTGTACTGGTAACTCCTGATCCATCTTCCAGTTCTTTCCTAGAAGTTCTCTTACGAACACCAGAGCTATGTATAGCATACCAGCAAAAATTAAAATATAAGATATGAGGTTTTTCTCCCCGGGAAGATCATTTTCTTCTACCTCACTACCTTTATCCTCCTTTATTTGGTTAGTGGGAAGAATTGATTAAGAACAACTGGGACACCTTACTTAGAGTCTAGTGATTGGAAATGTTTATCTTATGATTGTGAAATTGAGTTCTTTAATTTCAGTTGAACCGTGTAGTATTACTTATTGCTGCTTACATGACATAAGCTACCTGTGTTACAGCCAGACTGACCAGCACAGATGGTTTCCTTGGTCCTCATAACCTTACCTGAGTGTCTTTCTCTAGTCATCTTGTATCCTGTATCAGAACACAAATTTTAATTCTTCTAACAGGTTTCTAACTCCAGTAACATCAGGAAAAGTTACTTTTCTCTCTGTCAGAACAAAACTTCTCTTCTTTTCCTTCCCAAGGGTGTTAACTTTGAAATAGTTGATTTACCACATAGTCTGTATTAAACAGTAGTTTGCCACCTGCTTTATTTTCTTCCTGCTTTTTAAACCAAACATAAACGGTCTTGACATATTTCCAGAATTGTAGTTAATGTTATTGACTGTTCATCTTTTGATTTAGGTTTACCCCAAGTTTTATTGCAAGGTATATATACATATGATTTACCTCAGAATTTTTTACACATCAAGAAAAGATTCTGAATTAGTCAGGCTACCTTTTGGCATAGCAACAGGTAGTGACAGCTAAAGAGTTTTGACTGGATGAAGTTCAAATAAGTTTGATCAGGCGGGAGGAATGGAGGTAAGTGTCAGGGACATGGTGATGATGGAGCAGCACAGGTGTGTGTCCACTGGGCGACATTGTGGACACCGAGGAGCTGTGTAAGATGCCACTCCTATTCTGGAGAGACCTAGAATCTTAGAAATAATCTTGTTTAGTAATTAATTTAGTTTTAAATTATTAGAAAAGAATCAGGACCATTTCCATAGGAACTACTGTTAATATTTGCTGTTAGTTATAATAATAGCAATCTTTATAGTTAAAACAATCCTTTAGGATGTCCATACAAAGCTAAATGTTAAAATTGGTGCCTTGATCTTACGAGAATTTTGTGCCTGAACTATCTCCATCTGAATAAAATAAAATTTTCAATGTAAATGACTTACCTTCTGATTCTTCTCTGTTACAGATGATTACTGTGAATGCTTCCTTGTTTCCTAGTTCTGTGGCCAACTCACTAATTGCAGTTGGAAATGATGGCCTTCAAGAAAGAGACAGAATGGTCCGGGCATGCATTGCCATTATCTGTGAACTAGGTCAGAATTTTCTTGAAGTAATGAAATGTTTTATAAAGTACATATAATATTACCTAATGTCCTTAGAAGAAAAGTGCTACAAAAATAAGAAAATGTTTACTTCTTATTGGAAAGTAGACAATTCAAAATTCATATTATTATTGTGTAAATTTTCAAATTTATTATAAAATTTGATTGTCTTCAATCCAGTAGTAATGAAATCTACTCGTGTAACCTTCTGACATTGATGATACTATGTCTTGATATGGTTTAAAGTAATAGTTTACAGTGCAAAAAATTAATCCTAATAAAACCCTTTGTATTACAGATCAGAGATTAGAGCGAAAAAAGGGAGAGTAGAAACATGAATGTATATTTATCTGGACATGAGGAAAGTCGGTTGTGAATTATTGTACATGGGTGGTAGCAATAGAGTTTACGTTAAGGAACCAAAAACAAAAAAAGATTGTTGGCAGATCAAACAAGCAAAATAACAAGTATAAAGTAAAATAGTAAACAGAAATAATCCCTAAATACCTACTTTAAAAACTTTAAAAGTTCAATTTCATTTGTTATCAGTGGAATATAATTTTAAGTATCAAGAAGATAATGAGTTTTTTTTCTATTGCCAAAAGTACAAATTGTGGCGGTCATATTTCTGCTTGGGATAATAAATAAATTAATAAAGTTTAAGTTACAAACGAAGAGCCACTCTACCACTGAAGACTCAAAGCTAGAGGTGGACATACATTATCTTTCTTAGTTACTTTGTACCTTATTTTTTGAAACAACACAATTAGTAAACATTGTTTAAAATGCTTAACCATATTTTGGATAAAGTAATGAATGAAGTTTAAATATTGGAAAGCTGCTAGTTGTCACTATAAATATATATCGGAAAACTGAATCAAGTGAAGAAGTGATCTATGTGGAATTGTGAAAATTTAAATTTGATATATTTCAGAAATAATCACAGTAGAATAAACAAAAGAAATATATAGGAAATATGGTGATTTGTGTGGAGAAGATGCTTTTGAGTGTGTCAGATTGGGGTTTAAGAAGGTACAGCTAACTTGTAATAAAGAGAGATAATGAAGACAGTGATGACACGGGAGGAAGTACATTGGACCTTCTAACGTAGTTAAGTTCTACATCAAGCAGATTTGGGCGTGGGTGTAACTGTTCAGATATTACTGACCCATACCATTGAAATCTGCACTGTGGTCCTGTGTGATTTTACCTAATTTTAGAAAACAGGAGAAAACCCAACTCTAAAGTCCAGAACAAACATGACAGAAGAAGCTCTAGAAACATTGTGAAAAAAAAATTTAGGAGAAAGGAAACTTTCTTTTCATATTATTTTGTTTTTTGTTTTGTTTTAAAGATTTTTTTATTATGTGTACAGTGTTCTGTCTGCATATATGCCTGCAGGCCAGAAGAGGGCACCAGATCTCATTACAGGTGGTTGTGAGCCACCATGTGGTTGCTGGGAATTGAACTCAGGACCTTTGGAAGAGCAGTCAGTGCTCTTAACCTCTGAGCCATCTCTCCAGCCCCCTCATATTATTTTTAAAACTATTAACTTCACTCATTTTTTAAGAGAAAAAAACCTTTAAAAAAAAAGTTACTGATCATATTTTGAAAAACACATTGGCATATCATTAAGAATAAAAACCCTACTGGACATGACAACATATCCCTGTCATCTCAGCCTTGGGAGCCAGAGCTAGTAAGACACCAAATTCAAAACCAGCTTGCAAATATAGCAACACTGTCTCTAAAAAGAGAATAGGTATAATTAGAGAAACATGATGGGATAATTAGTAAAATATTTGTGGGGAAAATTGAGTTTATTATCTCAGTGAATTCCAATTTCATGACAGATTGAAACAGATGAAACGTAAGTCATAAAGATGCATCCATGTCTGACCCACATGGTGATAGACACTCAGTACACAGACAGAATAGTGCGTGTGAGACTGTCTGAGCTCTGTGCTGACTTTTAGGCACTGTTTCCAAAACAAGGTCCACAACAAAAAGCAGAAACTACATGTGAGGAGCAGTCATGGTCTTCAAAGTAAGAGAGAAGTTTATCTTAAAGTTACAAAGGGGTCTGTGTGGATGTATGATTTTATGTCTGTGGTTTTTTTTTTTTGATAAAAGTAAATGATATACACTATTTGAAGCAAATTTTAAAATTACAAATACTATAAAATATTTGAAAAAAAATCACTAAAGGGCTAGTGTCTCCACAGTAAAATGTACTCTGAAATTGAAGAAAAATACTAAGTAAAGTAAGTCTGAAGAATATGACAAAATTGTTCAAAGACATTTTAAAAATCAGGCTTGGGAAAAAGATAGTAAATGACTCTTAAGTGAAATCTTTTACTTGTAAATATAGGTACTAAGAAAGTTTCCAAATCCAAAAGGAAACTTAAGATTTTAGTAAAAGTGTAGGTTTTAAATACTTAATACTATGAATATAATTAGTTTTTCTTTCATTTTAGCACTTCAGAACCCCGAGGTGGTAGCCCTTCGAGGCGGACTAAACACCATCCTGAAAAATGTGATTGATTGCCAATTAAGTCGAATAAATGAGGCCCTCATTACTACAATTTTGCACCTTCTTAATCATCCAAAGACCCGACAGTATGTGCGAGCTGATGTAGAATTAGAGGTAGGCACTTTTAGTGTTTCTAATTTAAAATACAATTCTTAAAAATAATTAATGGGTGTCAGGGTTTTACCTTGGTGAATGTCTGTGCACCATATGTGTACAGAGCCCACAGAGGCTAGAAGAGGGCGTCGGAACCCCAAGAAATGGAGTTTCAGATGCTTGTAAGGTACCATGTGGGTGCTGGGAATCGAACTTGGGTCCTTTGGAAGAGCAGCCAATGGTCTTAACCCCTGAGCCATCTCTCTAGCCCAAAATATATAAGTTTAAATACATAACCTTACTTTGAAATTTTGAGATTATAGACTCAAGTGCTACATTAATTATCTAACCTGTGTTCATTTGGTTTATTCTCATTTTGTATAGTTATTTGATTAGTAATAAATTAAAAATGTTATCAGTATTTCAGCAACATGCAAAATAGTTCATTTTGTATTAGCCCTAAGAAGTTTCCTGAGCAAACTAAAGGATGAGTAAAGTTTATACTAAGACACCTTCTAATAAGAAATTCACTATGTTAATATTGTCTATTTTCTGCTAATTATGTTCTGTTTATTCATTAAACAATACAAAAATTTTTTAATATAAGAACCACTTTGGGGACTGAAGAGATGGTTCAGAGGGAAAACTCTTTAACATGTAATTTGACAGCTTGAGTTTGGTCTTGGGACCACGTAAAAGCTGGACATGATTCAATTTTGTGATCCCAGATCTGCCTGGAAGCTCCTGTAGGAAACTCAGGGGCAAAAAATCAGCAAGAAGAATTCTTCCTCAGAAATAAGGTGGAAGAGAGAAGAGACTCCCAAAAGGTGTCCTCCAACCTCCGTGGGCACACCATGGCATATGTATACCTATGCTCACATCATAAGCATATGTGCACACACTTGTACACATCCTAAATTAATAATACAAAAGGGGAAAAACACTTTGACACTATCTGTAATTAATGTATCTTTTAAAAATATGAATGTAAAATATTTACTAATTCAGGTGGAAGTTTTATATCTAAATTACTGAGGTTACTATATACTTCTTATGATAAGGTGTTATTAACTGAGGATGGCAGCCCTGACTATAATCCTAGCATTCATGAGGCAGAGTAGGAGAAATGGGAGTTGGAGGCCAAACAGGGCTCCTAGTGAGACGATACTGGACAGAGCAGCTATCACAAGTTAGATCTTAAGAGTTGGTTTTGAATGTAGTACATTATTGTTTGTTGAAGATAGCATCTAAAATAAATTTAAGTCAAGAATTTAAATGAGATTTAGAATGCTTACCATTTTCTAATTATCCTTACCATTTTAGGGTAGGAGCCTTAAAATGTTGTGGTTCTGATTTTATTAGGATGTTTCCTCTCCCCTCCCCCACCTCTCTTTCATGTGATCTGGTCTTACTATGATCCCTGAGATGGTCTCCAGATCGTAGACTCCCACCTCAGCTTGCCATGTAGGTGGACTGTAGTCAGCACCAGCATTCTTGCCATTGGGACTATTTTTAGAACGTTACAGATGATGAAACTTCATCAGACTATCATTACTAACAAATGTAATAAACATAATAGTCTCTTAGTGATTTTTAAATGTATTATTCATTGGAGTCCTATGCCAATGGGTATTACTGATCTTTCATAGAATACTTAGCTTTAATTTTTATCAAGTTGAATAATTACTATTAAAAATTGAAGATGTTTTTATTTAAAGAGAAGAGATGACTCAAGGTATTAGCATAGGCTTTTTAAATTCTATACATTATAAAGCAAACTAGCAAACCTTTATGTAAATGAAAATAACCTGTGAAGACTATGATATATTTTTAAATAAATTCTTATATTTTATGCTTGCAGCCATAAACATTTTTTTCCCTTAATAAGATGTCACCCCAGTGACACAAAGCCTGAGAGGGTCGACTTTAGGCTTTACAGGTTCTGTTAGATGATGAGAATATAGTTCCCTCAAGAATATAGTATATTAGGTGTGAATTTATCGCATGATCTTGCTAACTTTGTGGCTTTAGGCAAGTTATTTAGTTTTTCTTGACTTAAATTTTTCTTTTTTTTAAATTAAACTATCTTTTTTCATTATACATACAAATCCAAGTTCCCCACTCCTTCGCCTCCTCCCTTTCCTCCACTTACCCTCCCATCCACTCCTCAGCCAGGGTAAGGCACATTTTTTGGGGAAGGTCCAAGGCCCTCCCTATTATACCTAGGCTGAGCAAGGTATCCATACAAAGAGAATAGGTTCCCAAAAAGCCAGTACAAGCAGTAGGGATAAATCCTGGTGCCACTGCCAGTGGCCCCTCAGTCTGCCCCAGCCATACAACTGTCAACCACATTCAGAGGGACTAGTTTGGTCCTATGTTTGTTCCTTCCCAGTCTGGCTAGAGTTGGTGAGCTCCCGTTAGCTCAGGTAGACTGTTTCAGCGCATGTCTCCACCATGGTCTGGACCTCTTTGCTCATATTCTCACTCCCACTCTTCAGCTGGACTTTGGGAGCTCACTGCAGTGCTCCACTAGGTCTCTGCCTCTCTTTCCATCAGTTGCTGGATGAAGGTTCTGTGGTGATATTTAAAGTATTCATCAGTTTGACTACAGGGCAAGGCCAGTTCAGGCCCCCTCTCTATTGCTTAGGGTCTTAGCTGGGGTCATCCTTGTGGATTCCTGGAAATTTCTCTAGAGCCAGGTAGGTTTCTTTGCTAACCCAATAATGGCTCTCTCAATTAATAATGGATCTCTTTCCTTGCTCTCATCTCTGTCCTTACTCTATCTCGACTATCCTGTTCCCTCAAGTTCTCCTTGCCCCTCCCCTTCTCCTCTCCTTTTCCCCTTCCATCCAGCCTTCTCCCCCTACCTCCATGTTCCCAATTTTGTCAGGTGATCTTGTCTATTTCAACTTTCCAGGTGGTTTTATATATATATTTTTCTTAGGGTTCACCTTGTTACTTAGCTTCTCTAGATTCATGAACTATAGGCTCAATATCTTTTGTTTATAGCTAGTATCCACTTATGAGTGAGTACATAGCGCATCTTTTTGGGTCTGGGTTATATCACTCAGGATGGTGTTTTCTAGTTCCACCCATTTGCATGTACAATTCAAGATGTCATTGCTTTTTATTGCTGAGAGTACTCTAACATGTAAGTATGCCACATTTTCTTTATCCATTCTTTAGCTGAGGGGCATCTGGGTTGTTTGCAGGTTCTGGCTATTACAAACAATGCTGCTATGAACATAGTTGAACAAGGCTGTCCACTCTCTCCATATCTTGTCAGCATAGTTCTTGACGTTCTAGGTATAGCAATAAGACAATAAAAGGAGATCAACAGGATTCAAATTAGGAAGGAAAAAGTCAAACTTTTGTTATTTGCAGATGATAAGATAGTATATATAAATGACCCCAAAAACTCTACCAGAGAACTCCTACAACTGATAAATACCTTCAGTGATGTGGCAGGATACAAGATCAACTCAAAAAAAATCAGTAACCTCCTTTGTACAAATGATAACAAAGCTGAGAAAGAAATCAGAGAAAAATCACCTTTCACAATAGCCACAAATAACATAAAATGTCTTCGGGTAACACTAACCAAAGAAGTGAAAGATCTATTTGACAAGAACTTTGGTCTTTGAAGAAAGAAATTGAAGATACCAGAAAATGGAACGATCTCCCATGCTCTTGGATAGGTAGGATCAACATAAAAATGGCAATTCTACCAAAAGCAATCTGTAGATTCAATACAATTCCCATCAAAATTCCAAGACAATTCTTCACAGACCTTGAAATAACAATATTCAACTTCATATGGAAAAATTAAAAACCGAGGATAGCCAAAACAGTTCTGTACAATAAAGGAACTTCCAGAGGCATCACCATACCTTACATCAAGCTCTATTACAGAGCTACAGTAATGAAAACAACTTGGTATTAGCATAAAAACAGAGAAATTGACCATTGGATTCATATTGAAGACCCAGATATTAGTCCACACACTGATGAACATTTGATTTTTGACACCAAAGCTAAAATTTTACAATGTAAAAAAGAAAACATCTTCAACAAATGGTGCTGGCATAGCTGGATGTCAACATATAGAAGAATGAAAATAGATCTATATCTATCCCCATGCACAAAACTCAAGTTCAAATGGATTAAAGACCTCAATATAAATCCAGCTACACTGAACTTGATTGAAGAGAAAGTGTGAAGTATCCCCCAATGCATGGGCACAGGAGATCATTTCCTAAATATAACCACAGTAGCACAGACACTGAGAGCAACAATAAATAAATGGGACCTCCTGAAACTGAGAAGCTTCTGTAAGGCAAAGGACAAAGACAATAAGACAAAAAGGCAGCCTACTGAATGGGAAAAGATCTTCACCAACCCACATCAGACAAAGGACTGATCTTCAAAATATATAAAGAACTCAAGATATTAGACATCAAAATTCCAAATAACCCAATTAAGAAGTGGGATACAGAAATAAACAGAATTCTCAACAGAAGAATCTCAAATGGCTGAAAGACACTTAAGGAAATGTTCAATATCCTTAACCATCAGGGAAATTAAACAGTTCTCAGATACCATCTTAATCCTGTCAGAATGGCTAAAATCAAGAGCACTAATGATAGCTTATGCTAGAGAGGATGTAGAGTAAGGGGAACACTCATCCATTGCTGGTGAGAATGCACACTTGTACAACCTTTGGCTATCAGCATGACCGTTTCTCAGAAAATTGGGAATCAACCTACCTCAGGATGGAGCAATTCTCCTCTTGGGCATATACCCAAAAGATGCTCAATCATACTACGAAGACATCTACTTATATTTTTCATAGGTAAAATGAAGGCCATGGTTTTCAGAGTTAAAAAATATTTTGAAATTTCAGTGTTCTAAATAACAAATCTTAACAATAATAACTGTAGTACTTTTCATCCATCCAAGTTTACATTTAGCTATATGCATTTCCTCTTTTTTTCTGCTCTACATAAGTATGTTGCATAGTTCTTCCTGTGTAGTACATGCCAGCTTTCTTGGCTGGCTATCACTGTCCTCTGTCTTCATCACTGTGTCTTTATCATGGATTAAGTTAGGAGAATGTAATCTTTTTATTCATCATATCATTTTGTTTTCATTTTAAATCAATGCCTTTTCTTTTCTATAAAGAACTACCGATAGTACCCTTATCTCTGCTACCAGACATCATCTTCCTCCTGTTAAAAATAGATGAGTGGCTCACTATGTTTTTAGTTTACCCTGATATTCATTTGTAGTGAATTTATACAAGTTATCATGGAAGTGTTTACTTTTTCCTAGGCAGTTTCCTACTCAGGGTATATTTGAAGGGGAAATTCACATATACTCTACTTGAGATCAGAAAACTCAAGAACTTTTGGTGGGTGTGCTAAAGTAACAAACTGGATAATTTGTAACTAATCTGTTCTTGACTTTTACCAGATTCTCAAAGTTATTGGAATAAAGGTCTCAGTTTAACATGCAAAATATTGTCTTTAAAATATCGTTCTTGGGATGGTGTATTGCCTTTAATCCCAGTACTTGGGAGACAGAGGCAAGCATAATTTTCTGAGTTCTAGACCACCCTGTTCTACATAGTGAATTCCAGATTAAGCAAGGCTACATAATGAGACCTTGTTTTTTTTTGTTTTTTGGGGGGTTTTTTTGGTTTTGTTTTAAAAAGAAGAAGAAGAAAAAAATCCAATCCTTTTGACTGGAAAGGTGGTTCCATGGTTAGAGCCATCCGCTCTTCCAGGGTCCCAGTTTGAGTGTCAGCAAACAGCTCTTGTAACTCCAGCTCCAGGGACACCTGCCTCCTTGGCCTCTGTGGACACCCACACTCATGCACATGAAGTCACAACACGCACACATAGTGAAAAATAATAGAAAGGAATCTTTTAAAACCCCATTCTCATTGCTAAGGAGTAAAAATACCTACGTTCTGTTGAAAGCACTGGCAGAACATACTAGGATGTCAGAACAAACAGATAGACCTAGTGTTACTGGAATTGCAGTATAACTGCCTTGGAGTAGAATGATTAGCTGCTTTCATTTATCTGCATAAAAGAAAAGATCAACCACCTCTAGTGGGAGATAACATCAGGTAGATCTTCTATAAAATGACTGTGAACATTCATTTAGAGTTGTCTAGTCATGGACTGGCTGGCTCAATGTATGAAGTGCTTGGTACAAGCACAGGGACCGAAGTTGGCATCTGCAACACCCGATGAACAACTGGATATGGTGAAATGTGCCGGAGACAGATGGGTCCCAGGGGCACAGTACCTTGTGGACTAGCGTAAACAATGATCTCTAGGTTCAGTGGGAGGCTATATCAGAAAATATGGTGGAAAAGTGTATGTGCTTGGACAGACAGTTCAGCTCCCAGCATACATGATTTCTATTCTACAAAAAAAAATCACATTACTGAAAACTCAAAAGAAAAAAATTCTTAGTACTTGCTTAGGCATAATCCAAATAGAAAAGAGTTTAAGTAAACCATACTTAATTTGTTCTGGAAAGCAACTGTAAGTGAAAATATGGTAACTTTTGTCCTATAATTAGACATACAAAATGAGTCAAATGAAATTTCTAGTGTGAAAAATAGATCTAGAAGTCAGGATTCTGTGAAATTCCAATTTTATTGTGGACAAGGAGATGTCAATAGGAAACTGAAAATAACCAGAGTAAATCACAGAGAGGGTGAGCGGCATCCGGGACACAGAACATCAACACAACAACAGTTCAATCCTTAGGGAGGAGAGAGAAGATTAGCAGAAAGCAAGGATCCACAGAAACAATGACTAAAATTTAGCTTCTAGATTTAACTACATTTTTCAAATAGAATGTAAAAGAAAATAAGTTGTTAGACACTCCATCATAAGACTGCTAAATCCAGATTTCATAAACTCAAGAACAACTTGAGGAGAAGAAGAAACCAACAAAAAGACATGTGACTTCAAAAGAACCTTTGACACTTGGTTTCTCAATAGTCAATGGAAACGGGTGTATTTGGTAATCATATTGGGTGCTGAAGGAAGATGACTGCCAACCCAACCGAGAAACACATTTATACCTGTGTCTGCTTTGTTTCATAGATGCATATTATACCTTAATTTATGAACTAAAAATTCAGTTAATGTACCTAAAATCACGCTACATTTTTAAAATGAATTTGAAGATTAAATAACTAAAACAGCTAATCCTCTTAAAGACACAGAGGAATGAAATTAATTTTGTGTTATAGAAAGAATGCCTTTTATAATAAAAATTGCTTCTGTTTCTATTTCCTTTTCTAATTAGCGAATTTTAGCACCCTATACTGATTTCCACTACAGACACAGTCCAGATACAGCTGAAGGACAGCTCAAGTAAGTACCATGAGTTTCTGCTAGGGCGTGTGGTGTCTGTGTACTTATATTAAGTGCTATGGTTACACTGATAGTGTACAGTGCTAGGGAGTGGGAGTATACGTGAATGTCCTATCTCAGGGTTTACGTTGTACTCTCTGAGTTACATAGTATACACTAAAGGAAGGCTTTGAGAAATTTAAATGTTAATTCGTGATCTTCACATTGATACAGCACTGGATTCCTTTGATTTAGTAATTGTTTGATGACTGCAGATTACTGGGCCTGCTGTGTAGAAAAGCGGAAGAGAATGCTGGTTGACAAGCTTCTGTGGTGGGCGTGGGCTCTTGCTTCTGGAGCATCCTTGCTGCACAGATGCTCATTCAGCTGGCTGTGCTCTCGTGCTCAGTTGAAGCCCAGCAAAGAGCAGTTTTCAGAAGGATCAAGATTTCTAACTTAGTTATAAATCATGGTGTAGATTTTATTTTTATTCATTAATTTATTTGTGCCTTTCTGTGTTATCTCTGACTAGCCAGGAAACTGCTGTGTAGCCCAGTCTGACCTTGAACCTACAGCAGTTCTCCTGTCTGTCTCCTGAGCTCTGAGATCATATTGTCAATTGAAAATTGAAAATCAATTTATACTAATAGTTGTCTAATTGTAGAGTAATCTGCTCTTTTTTAAACATCTTGTTTTGATTTCAAACATAAATACTTTAATGAAACTCACCTCCTTTTTTTCTCTTGTGTCTTTACTAATTCCCTATCCCCACCCTCCAACAGAGAAGACAGAGAGGCACGATTTCTAGCCAGTAAAATGGGAATCATTGCGACATTCCGCTCATGGGCAGGTAGGTTCTGTATGTTGCTCAGTGACGTCAAAGAATAGACCTTAATTGGTTTTTCAAATGTTTAATTGTTGTAGCATCTAATTTAAATACAAATGTAGTTTTACATTTATGGTATTATAACCAAGGAGATTTACACAAAATGATTAAAACACAATGAAGAAAGTTTATAATAAGTAGCATATTCCGTTCTGTATATACACATTCATTATACTTGCAAGACTGTGCTATTGATTACCTGGACATTTTAAGAAAAATCCAGCATGATCTACATTCCTGAAGAAGACTCCCAAAGTAAAAGACAAAACTCATGTATCATGTATTGCTGAAGCTTCTTGCTTAAAATCGTTTAGTAATGTCATAAGTAGTAGGTATGTTAGGCAGGGTGTTAGGAGTCTCAAACATTGTTGTTACTTGTTTTGAACCCAGGGCTTTGTGCCTGATAAGCAAGAGCTCTATTCCTGAGCCTCATAACCAGCTCACCAGAGTTCTTTAATATCGGGTTATACATGTTTCCTCATTCTCTGAAGTAAAAAATATTTTTTCATAAAGTAATATGGCCATTGACTTTATTTTCTGGCAATGATCACCTTCTTGGGTTCACAGTATTCCTGCAAAGAGAGCTTGTAAAGGAACGTTAGCATAAGCAGAACAAAGAAAATTCCTTTAATACTGCTGTGTACTAAGTAACCCTATCTTACAAATATCTTTTCTATACAAATGTTTATCCTAGCCACTGGGCTTTCGCTAGTGTGTCTAGTGTGCTTCTGCCATCTTAGTACCTCAGTGAAAACCTTGCCTTATCTGTTGTGCTTACCTTCATGGACAGCTGAAAGGCTGTGTGTGAATGTAAGAGTAAATAATAATAATTTTCATACTTATTCTAATTTATTTTTTATTCCCAAAACTAAATGCTAACAAGTATGTGATTTATTTTAAAATTAAGATTTATATAGTTTTTACTTCTGGAAGCTGAAATGTTCAAGAACCTGGCATTAACCTCATATGGCGAAAATGACAGACTGCAAGCTCCAGACTTTGCTCTCGTAGAGTTAGTTTTGGGGCTTTGTTAGGATGACCTCATCTAATCCCCAGTCACCTCTCAGAAACCATCAGTGTGCATTTGGGGACTGGGTTTCTGGCATGTGATCATTGAGGTCCCTCAAGGCTGAAAGTATAGAGCAGTGCATCCTAGCTCCCAGGTCCTCTTTAACAGACACAGCTTAGGTCCTCCTGCTAAGGAGAATGATGCTGTTTTCTGCCATTGAGTGTCCTCTGTTATCTCCAGCTTAACCACTGTCAGTGCTGTTTTTGTTTTTACGAAACATATTGATTGCACTGTGCTTTAACTACCAAGATGACCTAACTGCTCACTCTTCGACCTTCCTTCTAGACTATTGTTGTCAGTCTCTGTTTAAAATTCACCTCATACGTTCTTACTAAGTGACTTTCTCCCAATGCCATTATATATTGACTTGTGACTAGAAACTTTAAAAGTTAGATGCTTTCTACCTTTTGTTGAACGATGAAAATAGTAGCATTTCAAGTTCCCACCTTCAAAATATTTTTCGAACAGAAACATTTTCCTAAATAGTGTTTAGGTTCTGTGGCAGTATTTATGAATTAAATAAAGTTCTGCAGTGCTAACACGGTGACAGGTTTCAAGTTCCACATAACTGATGGGATGGTAACTTCAGCAGCACAGATTTTCCCCAAGTGTCAACAGCCTTTCTCCTGTGTTAGCAGAAAAGAAGGTTTATGCCCCTTATCACAATCTCTGGCTTCTCAAGGTGTGAGAAGTGCTCTTCAAGAACTTAAGCACTTAATTCTGCTTACTATGTTTAACTTGAACTTTGTTTCTAAGTCTAAAGAGAAGTTATAACTTATTCATGCATACGGACATACGAATCAAACATCCTTAATATGAAATCCAAATTGCTTCAATAGCTGAGATTTTTTTTTTTGGAGTGGTGACATAAATAGAAAATTTTACATGTGACCTCATGTGATTAGTTACAGTTAACACAGGAACATTTGTCTTCAGGATATATATATATAAAGTATATATGAAGCATAAATGACTTTATGTTGGGTCCATACCTGAGTTATCCCATGACAAACATGCAGGTATTCTGAAGTTTGAAAGAAAAAAATCAGAATTTGAAACATATCTGGTTCTAAGAATTTTTGTTAATGGTTGTTTAGCCATTGTAGTGGTGACAGTGAGCTTTAGAGTCCTGTGTGACTACCCTAACATTTTAATACAAAACATTTGGAAGAATTTTGAAAACTGCTGTGGTTAGCATATATTCTTACTATGTAGATTTTGTATCTGTCTCCACTATCTGCTTGTCTGTCTGTCCCTATGTGTCTCCATCATTCCATTTAAGTTTCTGTGATGTACTGTGAAGAAGCTTACAGATGCCAGCATTCTTTAATCCTGGAAAAGGTGCACATGCACACTCTGGTTAGCTGCTCAGTACAAATGTTCTCTTGTGCACTGCCATCAGCCGGTGTGAGTTCAGTTGCTCTGCATCCTTTTCAGTGTTTGCTGTTGTGATCCCCAGTGTTAACTATTTTAGTGTAGTGGTCTCTCTGATACAATTTGCATTTCATGAAAATTAATGATACTGAGCATTTTATGCTTGCTTATCACCTATTTACATATCTTTTGTGACATAAAATTTTAGTATGTTCAAAATTCTGCAACTTAAACTCTTTGATCCGTGAATTTAGAGTATGTTACTTGTTTTCATATATGCATTCAACTGATTTTAGAAATATATTTGACAAATGTCATATGGGTTTGTTTTTTTTTTTCCTGTAGTCTGAGGAGTATTCGATAGGGAAAATACTGTTGTTTTTCTCTCTCATGTTCTTACTTCTAGAGAGGTATTCATGTATATACCTTGGTGTTCATCAGTTTCTAGATATGAAATAGAAATTGATGAGGAATTTAGGTGATGGACTTAATGACAATTTGCAATCGGTGGGGATTGTCAGAGAATACTTGGTATCCTTTAGTTAGATGATATCAATTAGAGTAGCCAAGTAGTATAATTTAACTTGAAAGATAATCACAAATTTTATATCATGATATATTATTGTAGAATTTTTTTTAACTTTTATCCTCCTTAGGTATTATTAATTTATGTAAACCTGGGAACTCTGGGATCCAGTCCCTAATTGGAGTACTTTGCATACCAAATATGGAAATAAGGGTAAGTAACAGTTACTGTAATTCTTACATGCCTGGACTCTTAAAAGTTACATTAGTGACTGTAGAGAAGGCTTCTTATTAAGAGTGAGCTGTGCCCTGCTCTTGTGGAAGATTCAGGCTGGGCTTCCAGCACACCTGTCATAGCTACCTGTGATTGCAGTTCCACTAAAGTCTAATGCCACTGGTCTCTACAGTCATCTGCACTTACCTCAAGCTGGTAACTTTTAGTTTAGAGCATTGTACAGCACTTGACTACATAATAGTAATATATGGATCATTTAAAATACTGTTGGGAGTGACAATTCTATTAAAACTTGAGTTAAAATTATTAAAACAATGCAAGTGAAACAGAAGAACATTTTTATTTTAAAGAATCAAACCTAGAAATATATGTAACAAAAAGTAGATGTATATTTATGTAGTCATGCTTTGTAATTTATATATTTTTGATACCATTGTTACCATGTTTTTATTTCCAAGATGGTGACTGTCACTAAAACTAAGTTATTTGTGTCTTGATTTATTAGATATTTTCATAAATGGTTATAATTAAGACCTTTATTTATAGTAAGTAGCTAAAAACAAATTGAATGTAGAGGGGGAAAAAAAATACATTAACTCTTCAGTTCTCTTTTCCCTTAAATGTTTTTGTTTTAATTTTGTTTCTCTGTTTTACCTCCTAGTTGGTTTTCTTTAAATGAACCATACCTGTAGCTGAACAAGCTTGTGAGAAAACCTTGGCTAGGCATTCCTTGCTTACAATGTGAAATAAAATGCACTAGACCTTTTAAGTGGGAGGTGTGCTTATAAACAAACACATCTCCAGCAAGGAACAAAAGGAGCAACTTTGTTGACCCTTTTTGGGGTGTTGGGAATCAAACCTTGGGACATTGTAGGCAAGTAGTTTGCCACTGAGCACACCCCTGCTCATCTACTGACTTCCTGGGCGTGGAAAGAACTGAAATCTGTTTTCAGATTTGCACAATGGTGATAAGGAAACACTTTCTTGGAAAAAAATTGACATATTAAATATTTAGTAATTATCTGTTCCCTAATATAATCTTGATAGAATGTGATAGGTATGTTTTTATTAATTTTGTCATTCTCTTTGAACATGATCTTTTAAAAGTCATTAAAAAACTTTTGTAGAAATAAGTGAACTGTATTTGCTCTTCTAGCGAGGTCTGCTTGAAGTGCTCTATGATATATTTCGTCTCCCTCTACCTGTTGTGACAGATGAGTTCATAGAAGCCCTGCTCAGTGTAGGTGAGTACTAACACCTGCACTGGGATCTGTTGCTTATGGGAACTTTTAAATGACTTGATGGAAATAAACGATAAATTGGTGAAATACTAATTTGAACATCACTTTCTCTTCTTTCGGAAAGTTAGACATTATCTGACTCATAAAGTTACAGCTGCTATGCCATGTGTGTGTTGCATGTGAGTGTGCAGGTATGCTCACTCCATATGGGGTTTCTTCCTCTGTCACTCCCTTATTGCTTTGAGATAGAGTCTCAGTGAACCAGGGCCTGATTGTTTCAGCTAGTCTGGCTGGCCCTTGAGCTCTCCAGATCTGCCTGTCTCCACTCCCATATGCCACTGTCACAGGCATACACACTACTTGACAAGCACAGACATTATAGAAATGTCCACATAACAGGCCCAAGTAACCACCCCTTTGCCAATCATGACAGTCTCTACCACTCCACAAGCAGATTATTTTTAAAACCCCCTTGAAGTTTTCTGTAGCCTGGATAGCTGATAGTCCAATACTCATCTTATTCACTGTTACATAATCTGGTAACTACCTATTTTAACTCTTTTAGATCCAGGAAGGTTCCAGGACAGTTGGAGGCTTTCAGATGGCTTTGTGGCAGCTGAAGCAAAAACTATTCTTCCCCATCGTGCTAGATCCAGGTAGAATATAGATATAAAAATGATTCATTTATTACTATTACTGTTTTGGTTTTTTTAAATATTTATTTATTTTATTTATTTATTATGTATACAATAGTCTGTCTGTGTGTATGTATGCAGGCCAGAAGAGGGCACCAGACCTCATTACAGATCATTACAGATGGTTGTGAGCCACCATGTGGTTGCCGGGAATTGAACTCAGGAACTTTGGAAGAGCAGGCAATGCTCTTAACCACTGAGCCATCTCTCCAGCCCCCACCATTACTGTTTTTATGTTATGTAGAACATGTAAATTTTTTATATGCTTTTATTTCTAGACCAGACCTCATGGACAATTACTTGGCACTGATACTTTCTGCATTTATTCGTAATGGACTTTTAGAGGTAATGTTTCGACACCTTTATTCTGTCCATTAACAAAATTCGTTAGAGTGAGAAACAGATCTAATTCAGAAATATGTCTGTGTGCACCATTGTGCAGCAGTGATGCTTTCTTCTTGCCGCCATAGGGCTTGGTTGAAGTGATAACGAACAGTGATGACCACATCTCAGTTAGAGCGACCATCCTTTTAGGAGAGCTCTTGCATATGGTAAGTATTATGACCTCTGGTTATGTGGTTAAAATGTGTAGGATTTTAAATGATAAAACTGGTTAATTGGATGGCATTACTTTATGATAGTTCAGACAGTACATTTTCCTTTTGCCAAAGCCCTTGATTCCTGATAGAGATGTTCTATGTCTGTATTAACTGGTTTTATAAATGTAACAAGTACTGAATGTTGATTTTTTTTCTTTAACCTCTTTTAATGTTGATATTTTGATCCTTTAAACCTTGATTGCATTCAGAAAGGCATCCTAACTGAAGAAAGCAAGAAATAAAAAATACAAAACCATGAATTTTATGTCTGCAAGGAATGTAATCCATACATTGTAGTGACTTATTGACCTTCAGAAAGTTTAGTGAAAAAGTTTTAAATATAATATCTGAATATCACTGATGTCTGCAAATTAGTACTTTTAGGTTTAAAGAACGAGATTCTTTGGGTAGAGTCCTCAGCTAGGCCTCCTTGATTTTTTTTCTGACGTTTACTAACTACCAGAAACTAGAGGCTGTGGGCACTTTTCTATACTCTTTAGTAAACTGAATAGGGAAAGAATTGTACATTATAAAGATTTGTACTTGTAGGTCACTACCAACTGATAAAATACTAAATAAAAATCACTTTGGACTTGATTAGGAAGAAGTGATTATTTTGATATACCTTTTCATATTCACCATGGCTTGCTTTTATTGGCAGAATTATTTTTTGTTTGTTTTTGTTTTTTTAAGTGTTTCTGGCTGGGTGTGGTAGCACCTGGTCTTGATCTTAATTGCAGCACTCAGAAAGCAGAGCCATGTGGATCCCTGAGTTTGAGGCCAACCTGGTCTACATAATGAATATCAGTGAATATCAAAACAGCCAGGGCTACATAATAGACACTGTCTCCAAAACCAAAAATGTGCATGTTTCCTCCTTTCTTCCCCCAACTCTTTTTTTCCCCACATAGTAACTGAGCTGTATATGTAAGGTACAGGATTAAGCATTATATAAAATCTGTCTTCTTATCAATGACGTAGTCACTTTCTCTAATCTCATTGGCCTTTCTGTGAAAGCACTAAGCAGTACTGCAAATTCTCACGTTAGATAAGCTGTATGTTAGGTCTCAAGATACCATTTCCTATAAAGATATTAGTACTAATTTCTTTTTATGGAGGAATCTTTTTATATGAATTTAATATTTTCCCTCAAGTCTCAGAATTCTGTGATTCTCATGAAATATAAAAGCTGACCAGACTGAAGGATAACAGTATTAGTTACATTTACTATTTTTATCATATCTTCTTATTTACATTTAATAAGTGTACTTATTTGTAGGAAACTGGTTGGGTAGTGGAATTTTGCCTTGCACCAGGAGATAATGTTTCTGTTTAAAGAGTGTTGCTATATGGCATCAGCATTTTCTGAGAAGGTTGATATTGTTTCTGTACTTTTCTCAAATATGATGCTTTGCTACATAATTCTTTAGGTCATTTAAAATTCTCATTATTTTAAAAATATTTTAAATTGTGTGTGTGTGTGACACATGTGGGCATGCAATTGTGCTATGGTACATTGGGGATCAGAGTACAGCTTTGGAGGGGTTGGTTTGTCCTTTCTACCATGTGGGTCCTAGGATCAATCTCAGGTCCTCAAATTTAATGGCAAATATTCTGTCCTGTGAAACCATCTCACTGGCTCCAACCTATCATTCTTAATGGAATTGGATGGGATTAAAAATGCTAAGTATGTGTGGGTGAAAAATAAGTTAATTTTATGAAAAGCCTTGAGTTTTATTAGTCTTACATGCTATGTCTGTAAGTAACTGTTTCTAAAATCTCATCTAGGCAAACACAATTCTTCCTCATTCACATAGCCATCATTTGCACTGCTTGCCAACCCTTATGAATATGGCTGCATCCTTTGATATTCCCAAGGAAAAGAGACTGTAAGTATTAGAGCCTTAGCAAAGTATGCTTAATATATTTAGTATCTTCCTAGATAATCTTCTCTTTAAACACGGAAAGAAAACAAACAGTATGGAAAGCTTGTGCTTGGGAATTACCTTTGAAAACCTCAAGGAAGGAAAGTTAGGATTCTCAAAATATTTAATAATTTTATTTGAGACTACAGAGGGTTAATAAATGATAAATTGACCTATTTCCTTCCATGTTTCTGAACAAAGATGCAGGCTTTACTGTATGACTTATGAGGGTTTGTTGTTGTTGTTGTTGTTGTTTTTATTTGCTTTTATGATCTGGAAAAAGTTAGTATATGTCAAGCACAGTATCCCCTGCTAATGTAAATAAAATGCAATTCACTAGCTCTCTGGAGCTCTGAACTTTTCTTTAAAATTACACATTCTTCAAAAGTTTAATTAGCTTTAGTAAAACAAATGTTTATAAATGGGCCTATCAATAAATATCAATTATTTGCTTTAATTTTGCCAATAAATTGGCAATAAAAATTATGCTTAAAATAACAGTAATAGTAGTACTCTTAAGTTTTTGTTTATTTTATTGTTTTTTTTAGCTCCTTAACTTCTCTTTACTAACAGATTAAGTATTTGCCAATCTGACTGCATCCTAAAAGTTTTAGACTCTATTTACCAAAAGTTCTAAGGTTGAGACTTGGTTGCTGCCAAATTCTTCAAAATTGTTTTTTTTTCATATAACAAGTAATTAAATAACTTTAACGGATTCTAATTATGGTTATCAGTCAATGCCGAGATGAGACAATTTAGTTGCTAAATTATATTATATTAAATTATATTAATGGACAATGAAGTTTTATTGCAACTTAATGTAAATAAAAATCAGTTTCAAGTAGAACACTTGTGAAAAGCAAAGCTTTAAAATGTGAATAAGAAAACTGGGTTCTTGACTTTCTGTAACTGCCTGTGAGTATGTGTTTGGGGTCGGGGGTGCACTTGTTATGTATGTAGAAGCCAGGTGTTTCCCTGTGATAAGAGAGGATCTCTCTCATGGAACTAGGAGCTCACCCTCTGGCTAGGCTGGCTAAGTAGACCTGGGATCTGCTTGTCCTCACCTCAGACTCTAAAGTTATAGGTGCATACTGCAGTGCAGTCCTTTTTGTGGGTACTAGGGTTCCAAAGTCAGGTACCCTAATGCTTGCAAAGCAAATGCCTTGTGCATTGAATCATCTCATCATTACTGCATAGGAATTCCTAAAACCAATACACAAAATGGGCCTACCACCTTAGAAGAAAAGATTAGTAAGTGAAAGTTTGAACCCAAAATGGGTTTTTCTTTATGTGAATCAGCAGTGTTGATCTGTTCTTATGCTCCCATGCTTCAGTAAATGTTTCTGTTTGCATAGTAATTGCTATCCTTGAATTTATGTAAGTTTAAATAACTTAGCAGCCATTAATTTAAAAGTATGCTAGCCTTGCTACAGTATTGATTTTTCTTTCCTTTAGCCGAGCCAGTGCAGCCCTGAACTGTTTAAAACGCTTCCATGAAATGAAGAAGCGAGGACCTAAGCCTTATAGCCTTCATTTAGATCACATCATTCAGAAAGCAATTGCAACACACCAGAAACGGGATCAGTATCTTCGAGTTCAGAAAGATATATTTGTTCTTAAGGTATTGGCGTGAATGTTACTTTAGTTTCCTAATTCTCAACAACTGGATTGTAGTATACTTATACATGTTTGGGTTTTCAATTTCATTCAAGCATATGGGTTTTGAAATTACTAGTTTTACGTTGAAGAGGGACCCTGGAGCTGGGTTTAGTCTATGTGAGGGTAGAGTATGTGTTGCAGATATCTGTGTGAGGCCAGAGGACAGCAGTGTGCTGTTTCTCAAAAGACACCATGTACCTTGAGTTGTTTGTTTTTGAGATAGGGTCTCTCATTAACCAAAAACTCACTGCGTAGACTAGGAAGCTGGGCTGGCCAGCAGATACAGATTCCCTGACGCACACCGTGGCCTCCGTCTGCTCTCTGTGCCCTAGGCCCCAGTTCGCGAGCTTCGGGCAAGGGGCTGGAGGTTGAGAACACAGACACAGAGTCAGACCGACACGCAGACCTTCCAACACTGGTACCAAAAGTCCCTCTTTATTAGCACCATGTAGGCTTAAATACCCTGCAGTCAATGGCCAACAGGTGAAAATCCCATCCTCTGATTCTCTAAGCTAGGCACAGCTTCTAGTAACTTTAATTAGAAGGTTCTAGGAGGGAAGAGCAGCTGAAGGTCAGGACTCATTAGTCCCAACAATTCCCCTTGCATCTTCTTCCATAGTGCAGCGATGTCAAGTGTGTGTCACAGTCTAAGCATGTGTAGGTTCTGCTGATTGAACTCAGGTGCTCTTGCTTGCAAGGCAAGTACTTTATTAACTGAAACTTCTACCTGCCCTAGTTTTTTAGGATTTTTTATTAGTTTTTTGAAAATTATTTTTGAAGATCATTAATGATACCCCCCTTCATTTTTAAAATTAGAAATTAGTTTTCTGATGTGAGCATAGATTGTTTAATTGACCTTATTATTGTCTGTTAATTTTAGGATACAGAGGAAGCTCTTTTAATAAACCTTAGGGATAGCCAAGTTCTTCAACACAAAGAAAATCTTGAATGGAATTGGAATCTCATTGGGACCATTCTTAAGGTATGATAGAGTACTTTGTGGAGATTGCTAAACTGTTTTCATTTTATTGCTATAATTTACTATAGTTATATGCTTAGGAGTTGCCAAATATACATTTCTAATGTAAGATACCATGTTTTTCTAGTGGCCAAATGTAAATCTAAGAAACTATAAAGATGAACAGTTGCACAGGTATGTAAAAACTATTGTGCATTTAAATTTAAAGAACTTCAATTTATATTATGGTTAATGCCTGCTAAAAATAATCATTGATATTTTTAAAAGATGCATCCATTTTATGTGCAGTCTTGTAACCAGAATGCACTAGCTAATTTTCTTGATATTTATATTCTTCTTCCAGTTTTGATCTTTATGATAAGTTACTTACTCTGGGGTAGTATTATCTAGGCCATGGTTCTAACCCTGACACAAGGACAGCATTAAGAAATGGCATCCATTTTTATTGGAGTCCTTGTGCTTGCACACAAGTCATCTTCTGAGAGCTGTCTCTTCCTAACAGCGCTTATGTACTGTAAAGCGTGCTGATGTCATAGCACATGCAGCATGTGAAGCTGCTGCACTCTAAAGCATGCTGACTTCATGACATAGCACATGAAGCTGCTGCACTGTAAAGCATGAGGACTTCATGGCACGTGAAGCTGCTCTCTACTGCACCTGTGTGCTTTTACTCATGCATGACTATAAGCAAACACTGTTACCAATCTCCTTGGATAAAAAGGCCTTTTTTATCCAGAGAAGTCCATATCATTAGCATTTCTTATATTGTATTCATACTTAATGGTATGCGACTTAATGTTTATATCAGGCTTTGAGAAATATATAGAATAGGCAAGTTACAGTGACATGAAGAAGTATAGTACTCTTGATATTCTTAAAGAATAAAACAATAATATAATAAATTTGTTTTGTAACTCCTGTGCATAGCTGCTTCTTCAGGTTACACTGTAGTGCAAGAACTTAAAGTGAACTATATTAAGTGATCACAGCATTGAAAGTTGTTGGAATATATTCATGAATTCAGTTAAGTTGGTATCTGTAAGAGGCTTCCTTGTATCTCTCCAGCGTTCCAGTCTAGATGTGTTATGTCAATTTTGCTGTTGAGGATGTGGTGGCTGTTTTTAGTCTTGTTCCTTTGGTTTTTTGAGGCATGATCTTGCTATGTAGCCGAGGGTAACCTGAAACCCACTATGTGGCCTGTCCTGGCGACTTTCAGCTACTCTCTTTCTGCCCTTGACTCCAGAGTGCTGAGGGTTTTAATGTAGCCCATGCCTGGTAAGGACTGCACTTTCCCTACCAGGTCTCACTGCAAACTTCCTATTTAACAGACATGGTTCCCAATGATATTTTATTTAAATGTGAAATGTACCAACGTGCTTAGTAAGTTTCCTAAACTGCTCAAGGTTCTTTAATTATTGTGGTTTCCTACTTTGCTGCTAATTTCATCTTGATTTTAGGTTCGTGCGTAGACTTCTTTATTTTTACAAGCCCAGCAGTAAGCTGTATGCCAGTCTGGATCTAGACTTTGCCAAGTCCAAGCAGCTCACAGTTGTCGGCTGTCAGTTTACAGAGTTTCTTCTTGAGTCTGAAGAGGTAAGCCTTCTAGAGACTTTGACAGAAAATGGTTTTTGTTGAATCTACTCCTTTTTTCTCTTCTACTACTACCCTTAAATACACACTTTCTTTTTTCCTTTCCTTTCTCCCTCCCCCCCGCCCCGCCCCTTCAGCTCCCATTTTCTAAAGAAAAGTCAGAGTACATAGCTCTCTCTGTTTACCTGGAATTCACTATGTAGGCAACATTGGCCTCAAACTCAACAATCTGTCTACCTAAAGTGCTGGAATTAAAGTGTATGCTAACACATCTGCCCATGTGGTATACTTTTTCCCCCCTAGTTGGTATAAGCTCTATTTGAAATATAAGCTTAGACCTGTATTTGAATCCTGACATAGTCCTACCTAGTTAGGAAACCTTAGGGAATTACCCACCCTCTAGATGGCCTGGTTTCAGATAAGATGGAGAAATGAAAATAAAGAGGATCTCCAGATAACTTTTATTTTTAATTCAAAGGGATCAAACTCCACAAACTCGGTGATCCTGTTACCAGTGACTTAGCATCACTAAGATTTTCATGGCTATTAGAGATGACTTTCTAATTACAGGATGGGCAGGGGTACTTAGAAGATCTCGTGAAAGATATTGTTCAGTGGCTCAATGCTTCATCTGGGATGAAACCTGAAAGAAGCCTTCAGAATAATGGTTTGCTAACCACCCTCAGTCAACACTACTTCCTGTTCATCGGAACACTCTCTTGTCATCCTCATGGAGTCAAAATGTTGGAAAAATGCAGCGTCTTTCAGTGGTGAGCATTCTCTAATTGTGTTGCAATGTAAGCCTAAACTTGAGTTTTAATGAGTCCAGATATACAATATGCTTTTTAGTCTGTGTGCGTGTGTTTGGTAAATGCTTTTTCTTATAGATATTTATTGATACAGGATTTAAAGAATGTATGTTGTGCCAGGTGGTGGTGGCACACACCTTTAATCCCAGCACTTGGGAGGCAGAGGCAGGTGGATCTCAGTGAGTTCGAGGCTAGCCTGGTCTACAGAGTGAGTTCCAGGAAAGCCAGGACTGTTACACAGAGAAACCCTGTCTTGATAAACAAAATAAAATGTATGCTGAATTGTTTTCACATGACCATCTCCTAAAATTTTAATCATCTGTGCTAATGGGTTCTTTAAAGAATGTATCAGCTGATAGGTAACTGTGTATCTAATCAGGTTGTCTGCTTTGAATATGCATAATTTTCTATTTTTCAGTTATATTTCAATTAAACTGGAGAAAAGTTTATTGAATTAATGAATCAACACAGTAATTTATAATAAATACTCTTTTTTTTTTTTTTTTTTTTTTTTTTTTTTTAGTCTTCTTAATCTTTGTTCCTTGAAAAACCAAGATCACCTGCTGAAGCTCACTGTTTCTAGCCTAGACTATAGCCGAGATGGATTAGCTAGAGTCATTCTTTCAAAAATCCTCACGGCAGCTACTGATGTGAGTACAACATGGGAGATAAAGCTGTAGTTTTATAACCAGTTCTTTCCAGTACTTTATACATTGAACTAAGAATATGGGGAAGAAATTGAGTTAGCCTTAACTTTTAGTTGTTATACTTACTGGCAAGGGACATTCTGTGAATACAGTGGTTTTTCCAGGACCCATCATACGCCACATAGGCTGACCCCTGTGACTTGCCAAAATATAAGAAATTTGATGCATAATTTATGATAGTTGAGGATTGCATTCACATATTCTCTTTAGTAAACTTTTTTTAAAATTGTAGTACTGTTTGGCCAATAGCTTAGGCATATTTCTAGCTAGCTCTTACATCTTAAATTAACCCATTCCTATTGTTTTGTGTTTTGCCACAAGGCTTGTGGTTTACCGGTAAGGTTCTCCAGTGTCTGTCTCCTTCGGCAGCAAAATGGCATCTCTCTGATTCCACCTGCTTTTTCTATATATCTTTTCCAGCCTGGCTATATTTTGTAAAGCCATTGGCCAAAAGCAGCTTCTTTAGCCAATGGCAATAAAACATATTCACAGCATACAGAGGGGAGTCCCACTTCAGACATGGCTCCCACTCCTGACTAAGAAGCTATCTACAATTGATACCTGCTTGCAATGGGAAAATTAAGTTTTCTCCAGTGGAGTCTCATTGGTTATATTGACCACTCTTCAAGGTTGACCCTGTGCCCAGTTGTTCACCAAATGAAAAGTGAACTCAGTGTCTCTGAGGAACTCTGTATAGAACCCTCCTAAGTTAGAAGGGAATGGCTGTATCATTCCCTCAATTCCAACGGCTTTTCCAAAACAATGGTAAATATCTGAGATGACTTTTAATGTGTTCCTTTATTTCTTTAGGCCTGCAGATTGTATGCAACAAAACATTTAAGGGTTTTGTTGAGAGCTAATGTCGAATTCTTCAATAATTGGGGAATTGAGTTACTAGTTACTCAACTACATGATAAAAACAAAACAATTTCTTCTGAAGCTCTGGATATTCTTGATGAAGCTTGTGAAGACAAGGTAAAGTTGAACTGTATTGTTATAATGAAACATTTAGACCGAATTTTATAATTTTTTCCATTTTAATTGGCAGTGTTACAAAAGTGTAGTATGCATAAACATTTTAGAACAGAGCATATGCTGTCTTCGTGTATTTATTAACTTGATGGTCATCCCTTTAGGCCAATCTTCATGCTCTTATTCAGATGAAACCAGCCTTATCCCACCTTGGAGACAAGGGCTTGCTCCTCCTCCTGAGGTAAGGATTAAGTACATGTTCTTGTGGTGATACTCTTTGTTGTGTCCTCTCAGTCATGTGTATTAATGTTAAATCCAAATCTGACTAAATACTCCAAATCTATTTTAAATTTAGAACTGAGCTGTTCCTTGTTTTGTGTGCTTGTATTCAGTATTTGTCTCATGCTTTTCATGAAGTTTTTTTTATTTTTATTGGGTTCAGTCTTTTTGCAAATTCATTGAAAATTTATCTGCAATTGAGAAAAATTGGGGAACTGGAGAGATGGCTTGAAGTTTAAGGGCACTGTTTTCCTAGGGGTCCAGAGTTCAATTCCTAACAACCACATGGTAGGTCCAACCCTCTGTAATAAGATATGGTGCCCTCTGCTGACACGCAAGGATGAATGCAAGCAGAACACTATACATAATGAATAAATAAATAAATATCTTTTAAAAGAAAAAAAAAGCTGGAAGGTCAAGCACAATTTTGTCAAAGTTTAAAAGAGAAAAAACCCCTGGCAGACAAACTAAAACCTCCACAGCTGCCCAGAGGAAGACAGTGGAGGAGAGTAGGACAAAAGGCCATACTGTAATCTGGCATGGAGGTGAGATGCCTAGCAGATAAGCAGCCATGTGGTGGGGAGTGAAACATTAGAGAAAGAGGGAGGAAGCCTGGAATGCGGGGGAAACCCAGGAGTTTTGAGGAAAGCATGCTTAGAGAAGAAAGGGAAACATGGACTTTTTTGTACCTGGTAGATAAACAAATTGCATGGTTACAGTGCTGTCGGCTTGAGACCTCGTGATGGATTTGGGTGATGGCTGATCTGTCTCCTTTCAGGTGAAGTGGTGGTCAGGGTAGCCCTTCAGCTTGTCTATCTAAAAACCATTCCAGCGCAACTGTCAGTTGTAGGGAGAAATGGAAGTCCTAGTGTTTGAAATTTTAATAAATTGTAGTTAACCTTTTTATCTTAGACAGGAATATTCCAAAGACTTTGTTTCTTCAGCATATTCTATAGGTTATTTAGATCTCTTTTAGACTTGATGTTTAGCTATGGTTGTTCTAATTTGCAGATTTCTCTCCATTCCAAAAGGATTTTCCTACCTGAATGAAAGGGGTTATGTAGCAAAGCAACTGGAAAAATGGCACAAGGTAACTTCTTACTAAATAATAAGATTTAATGTGTATACTCTTTCCTTTGGGAATTCAGACCAATCTACACTACATTAGACCTTATCTACAAAACAGACAAAAATAAATGTATTCATGTTATCTTGGACTTTCTATTGCTATGAAGAGACACCATGACCATAGCAACTCTTACAAGGAAAACATTCAGTTGGGGCTAGCTTATAGTTTCAGAGGTTTAATATATTACCACCATGGTTGTGTATAGCTGTAAGCATACATACATACATACATACATACACACATACATACACACATACACACATTCTTTATTCAAAATACAAAGGGGTGAATTCAGTTTGCAAATGTAAATAAAACTGAAATTTTTCATTTAATACTTTATCTTAAAAGAACTTTCCAGAGCAATGTATTTAGATCTACCTCATCTTTTAAAACTGTGTGTGTGTGTGTGTGTGTGTGTTGTAAGGGGATGGACGTCATGCATATGCTCTGAAGCATGTGTGAAGTCAGAGAATAGCTCAAGGAGTCATTCATCTCCTTTACCATGTAGTCTCTAAACACTGAACTGGCTGTCAGACTTGGCAGCATCTGTTTCTCCCCATTAAAACTAACTCACTGGCTACTACCTTATTGTTTTAGTAATGTTCCAGTCCTGCTATTAATGTATATTTAGAGTGTGTCCAGTACAGCCTAATTTTTTAAATAAATGGGACTTGCTCAATATTATTACATATAATTATATATAAAGATATGTATTTCATAGTTCTAAAAGTATATAAATTGTATTAAATTATAAAAATATTATTATTACCACAAAAAAATCAGAATTTAATCTTTAGTAAATGCTGCTGTATTGCCTTCCAAATTGGATGTACCAATTTTTGTTGACAACCTGAAATGGAAAACTTTTGTAATAGAGATAGCAGTATGATATATTCAGTCTAAAACATTGAAGTGAAATTTTTTTTCCCAAGGGTTTGTATGAAATAAATTTATTTTTGATTTGATTTAATTAGTAAGGTAAAGGTTTTAAATTAAAAACACTGAAATTATATATTCCAGTTTTCTTTTTTAAATTTATACTGACTCTTCAGCATTTAATAAAATAGCAACTTTTTCAAGGAAACAAGAATTCAAGTATGATTTAAAAAAAAACATTATTTTCTAACTTGGAAAGAGGGAAAAATTAGGCAGAACACTTTTAGATGTGGTAGAACATTTACCTTCATGACCCATGCTTTTCTTTTTCTAAAAGCTTGTGAAGATACTTAGTTTTCTCATATTTATACTTCGCAAATTTGCTAAATATCTGACATAATGTAGTGACAGTTATTATGAAAATATAGACTTAATACTATTTTCCAGGAATACAATTCAAAATACGTTGACTTGATTGAGGAACAACTTAATGAAGCACTCACTACATACAGGAAGCCTATTGATGGTGATAATTACGTTCGTCGGAGTAACCAAAGGTATGGTCCAGTGAGTGGGGCCACGTGTAACTACCTCTCAAATGTCAAATTTAAAAATCAGCCTTTAATAGGTCATTTAGAAAATTTTGAGGACTTCTGTACACCGATACAGGAAAAATCTCTGCAGAGCAGTGCTTGCTCCAGTTTTCCAGTGGTGTATATCGTGCAATGCTAGACAGGCATGCTGAACATGCTTCCTGTCACTCCACTCATACACTCCATGTTCTCAGCCCCGTCTGCTTTTTTAGCTCTGCTTTGTTACCATAAACTGGTAGACCTGACAAAACTATTAGTTTTTTCAGAGGAATCCTCGTTGTTTCATAAGCTCTATTGTTTTGTTAGAAATCATTTCCTGCTTATTAATAGTTGTTTACTTAATTAGCATACTTAAGTCTGCTAGTAGCTTTCTCAGTTCATCTTTTGTCATACTAGATTACAACGACCTCATGTCTATCTGCCCGTACACCTTTATGGACAACTGGTACACCATAAAACAGGCTGCCATTTACTGGAAGTGCAGGTAAAAACATAATATGCATTATAAGTTATTAAAAGAGTAAAAGAAAAAATCTTAATAGTGCTAAAATAAATATCTTTGCCAAGAATTTTCAAAAGCTGTCTTGTACAAAGACTTCTGTTGTCTAGCTTAACAGTCTGTCAGATCCCCAGGAGACACGTGGGAGGGAAAGATCCAACTTGTATAGGTTCTCCACTGATAGCTACAAGTATGCTGTAGCATGCGTGTGCACCCATGCACACACAGACACACACAAATACAATGTTTAACAAATTAATATCTGTAATTAATACTAGGTACTAAGTACTTCATATGTAAAGGATTGATTAACACACCAGGCCTTGTAAAGCAGGTGCTGTTATCCCTTATAGATTAGGAGTTCATGGCATGGGCAAGTTCAGTAGTTTTTGGATAGCTCATTTGTTCTGTAGAGTTAGCTTCGGCTCAGGTTGTATTCTTCATGATTTACTGAAGAAATTACGATCACAAATATGGAAAAACTAAGTTGCTTTCTTTCTTGTATCAGAGGTTGAGCTGAACCTTAATGCAAGTTAGTTATAAATCCAGAATATGAAATCAGAACCTATGCCCTAAAGTGGCTCCCAAGTAAACTATATGTAAAGTTACTCTTGGAATTCTAAATGTGTAGAAATGACCAAAACAAACCTTGGGGTTGACTTGGACAAAGTATAAGGAAATACTTTAGAAGCATAACCCATTGTTATTTATTTACATGGTACTTCTTTCTTTGTCTAGAATGTTATCACAGAACTCTGTCACAATGTTCGTACTCCAGACTTGGATAAATGGGAAGAAATTAAAAAGCTGAAAGCCTCTCTTTGGGCCTTGGTTTGTAATGAATTTTTCTGATCTTTCCAGTGTGTATAGGTTTTGTTTTTTAAGGTTCTACTCACTAATGCTAAATAAATTTAAATTATTTTACCTTGAACTTGTTCTTAGATTAATATTCAAAAACCAGAATTGTTCTTACCAATTTAAAGGTTATTCTTATGCTGAAGAAATAGATGATTAAGATATTAATGTTTTGCTTTTTGTTGTTCTTCTAAGACAAACAGCATGTTTGCTTACTCCTAGCACACCTTATTTAAGGTTTTGTTTCTCCTTCCATAGGCTTTTTTCTTTCCCTCTTATAGCTGGATTTAAATTTGGGGGTTTTTTTTGTACCTTTTAAAGTTTCTTCAAAATATTAGTCATAAATATTTGATATTATTTCTTTTAGGGAAATATTGGCTCATCGAATTGGGGGCTTAATTTGCTACAGGAAGAAAATGTGATTCCAGATATACTAAAACTTGCAAAACAGTGTGAGGTTCTTTCCATCAGAGGGTATGTTACGTACCTGAGAAGTCTTTCTAGTGAATATAAATAGATGTAAGGCAAAGTATTTCATGATTCATAATTGTTACTTTAAATATGCTCTGCTAGGGTCCTGCTGTACTGCCTTCATTTGTTTTCATTATTTTTATTAGGGAGATTTACATGATTTTCATTGTGGTTTATTTATTCTTCACTAGATTTAATGTGTTGTTTTCTACAAACTGGCACAATTTTTAAGTATCTTCTTAAGGAAAATGTAGATACTCATCTAGCAGATTATTTTATGGTTATTTAAGAAATCTCACTTTGGGATTATAAACTGTTTTTACTATATTGTTTTTGTTTTGTTTTGTTTTGTTTTCCTGCAGGACCTGTGTATATGTTCTTGGACTCATAGCTAAAACCAAGCAAGGCTGTGATATTCTGAAATGTCACAGCTGGGATTCTGTGAGGCACAGTCGCAAGCATCTGTGGCCGGTGGTTGCAGATGATGTGGAACAGCTCTGCAATGAGCTCTCGTCTGTCCCAAGCACACTCAGTTTAAACTCTGAGTCAACCGGCTCTAGACATAACAGTGAAAGTGAGTCCGCACCGTCAAGTGAGTATTGTGATGGAGTCACAGGAATGAACCTGTTGTATTTGTTACATTCCTCTTTTCTTCTTAGTTTTTGGACTATCAGGATACAGAGTCTTGTGTGACCTGAAACTTGCTAAATAGCTAAGGATGATTGGCTCTGCCTGCTTCTGCTCCTGAGGTACAGGCATGTAGCTACACACAGGCCCAAGATTATGTTTTCAAAGATGATGGTTTGGTGGTGATGCCCTATTAAAGGGTCTCTTCTCACAACAAATATCACAGTCTCTAGCCTAACTACTTCTCTCCCATGCTTTTTGGATAGCTTTAGGGAATTATGTGCTCAGAGATGATGATACGTCATGTAGAGAAGCCAATCTAGATAGATTTTACCTACTTCGTTTACTTAATACTTTCCCTCTTTTTCTTAAGAATAAGTAACTAAAGTAGAATGTGTTTTGCTGAGAGTCATATCTTCATTAGATGTTACAGAGTGTGGGAGCCTTATGTGTAACTCAGTTGTAGAGCACTTTCCTATTTTATGCCTCAGAATCAGGGGGGAAAAGGACATTGGTGGAAGTGTTAAAAGATATATGAAACAGATGATTCAAGAGTTGAATGTTAATGGTTGTACAGAATTTAAGGCATGCTTTTTAGATTTAAGATGATAAATACAGGCAGGGCTTGGTGACACACACCTTTAATCCCAGCACTTTGTGGGCAGAGGCAGGTGGATCTTCATGAGTTCTACACCAGTCTGGTCTACAGAGTATGTCCCAGAACAACTAGGGCTGTTAATTCAGAGAAATCCTGTCTCAAAAAACCAAAGGAAGGGGAAAAGAAAAGGTGATGATAGGCTAGGCCTGGTTGCCAATGCCTACAATTCTAATTCTTCAGGAGGTTCATGCATGAGAATCTCAAGGCCTGTCCAGTCTGTAGGATAAAGCCAAGGCCAACTTGGCCAATCATAAGAGGTATTGTGTTCAATCACCAGTACCCGTGAGAAAAGGAAGGAAAGGAGAGAAGTTGAGTCTGCAAGTATATCTTTGAAATTTCATTACTTAAGCCTGAGGCAAGAAGACTGTTGAAAGTTCAAGACTAGTCAGGGATACACATACTAAATTTGAGTCCAGCCTGGGCAGTGTAAAATCATGTCTCAATCATTGTCTATTACACTACTCCATACTCTTTACTACATGGTGAAACTTGATTTTTGAGAAATTGCATATGAAAAGATACATCTTAGAGTTCACAGATTTAGAAAGTTAGTGTAATATGTAAATTCACTTAGGATTTTACTTTGTCTTTTTTCAAAATATATTTAAAGTTCTTAATAATTACTCAATAGACCAGTTACAAACAGAATAAATCTTTTTGGTACTGTTAGATACCTGTGGGTTAATTGATGTGATGTATAACAGTTAGACACTAAGTTTGATGGGCAAAATGGACAGTAAATATAATTGATTTAAATATGAAGCTTACACGTGTGCCTCTGTTATCTGTAAGTGTGGTTATCTTTTCATAGCTGTGTGATATCCCAGACTCCGTCCCACCTCTGTATCCAAATCCATTGATGGTAAAAATCCTTTGAATAAAGTGACATGGTTCTGTATCTGACTTATATTCAAATCTCCCAAATATTTTATATATAATCATTAGATCCTTTAATACCTAATCTAAATACTCAATAGTAAATTTTATTCTTAATTGCTTAAGGAATAACTGCTAGAAAAATATATGTACATGTTTAATTTAAGCACTTTTCTTGAATATTTTTGGTTTCTGGTTAGTTGAACCCATGTATACACAACTTCCTGATATGGAAGCCTGCAGTATTTAAAGCTTAGCAGTCTATTTCTTCTAAGATGAATGTCTCTTGCTGCTGTAATGTGAAGAAGCAGTCATGCCATGGACTACCAGAATGAGCACCCATGCTCAAGGGATTGGTTTCTTTTACTTTCTCTTTAATTTAATCCTGAATATTTTGAAAAATCAAAACTTCATATACTCTGTACCAGGATGAGTCTTGTAGTTTTTCTTTAGAAATAAGAGATCCTCAATAACACAGTCTTCTAGTTTATTCATATTGTAACTCTGACCTTCAGGGTAGCATTTTTATTCTTTAATGTTCCCCCAGATGGCTGTTTAAAAGGTGGGCTAGCACTAAGCATTGTGATGAATTCTTCATATTTGCATGCTTTGACAGCTGGTTCTCCAATTACAGGCATGTTCATACTGGAGGATGACCGGTTCGGCAGCAGCTCTACCAGTACATTCTTTCTTGACATCAATGAAGATGCTGAGCCAGCATTTTATGACCGACCTGGACCCCTAAAGGAAAAAAATCCATTTCCCTTTTTTGCGTCTAGCAAACTTGTAAAGCATCGTATCTTAAATTCACTTACTTTGCCGACTAAAAAACACCGCAGCAGCAGTGATCCAAAAGGAGGGAAACTTTCATCTGAAAATAAGACAAGCAACCGGCGAATCAGAACACTTACAGAGCCCAGCGTTGACTTTAATCACAGTGATGACTTTACACCTATCTCCACAGCACAGAAAACATTACAGCTAGAAACTTCTTTTGTTGTGAATAAACACCTTGAAGACACTGGCAGCACTCCAAGTATTGGAGAGAATGACTTAAAATTCCCCAAGAGTTTTGGTACAGAGAATCACAGAGAAAACACAAGCCGAGAGAGGCTGGTTGTAGAAAGCTCAGCAAGCTCACATATGAAGATCCGCAGCCAGAGCTTTAACACAGACACTACAACAAGTGGCATAAGTTCAATGAGCTCAAGTCCCTCTCGAGAGACAGTTGGTGTAGACCCTACAACTATGGACACAGACTGTGGAAGTATGAGTACTGTGGTAAGTACTAAAACAGTTAAGACAAGCCACTATCTGACGCCACAGTCTAACCATCTGTCTCTCTCCAAATCAAACTCAGTGTCCCTGGTGCCACCAGGTTCTTCTCATACGCTTCCTAGAAGAGCACAGTCCCTTAAAGCGCCCTCCATTGCAACAATAAAAAGTCTAGCAGATTGCAACTTCAGCTATACAAGTTCTAGAGATGCCTTTGGCTATGCTACGTTGAAAAGATTACAGCAGCAAAGAATGCACCCATCCTTATCGCACTCCGAAGCTTTGGCCTCCCCAGCAAAAGACGTATTATTTACTGATACCATCACTATGAAGGCTAACAGTTTTGAATCCAGACTGACCCCAAGCAGGTGAGCTGTACATACTTAAAATAAGTGAAAGTGGTTGAATTTTAACAGATAGTCATATAAGACATTAGTCAGATTGAGCACCACAGAAGCCAAGTCTCAGAACTGACCCATTTACCACAGTAGGCTGTGAGCTCCTTGTTACCTGATATGATTTGAAATGGATTCTTGCAGCTGCGAGGGGGGAAGATAAACTCCACTAGGCCCTGAAAATAAACTTGTTTTGCAAGGTTATACAAGTCACAAGCTTTTTTTTATTTATTTTTCGCTTCTGCAAGGATCGATTTTAAAAAGAAGCATGTCGGGGGAATCAGGAGCTTAAGACCTACAATAACAAACAACCTTTTCAGGTAGGTCAATTTAAAGCTCCAAAAGTTGACCTCTTACTATTTTTTAAAATAACTGAAAATTTCAGTTAAATTATTTTAGTTGGTTTTAAGTACATGTAATTATTAAATAGGAACCCAATAAACACTAAATGAGTTCCTGGGTCCTCAAGGCTAAAAAATGTCCCACTTATATGTTAAATATTCTATATTTAGATCATATCAAGCTATTAACAGTATACAGTTTAGGTTTGTTTTTTAAAATGATACACTTTGAAATTTGATCATTGCAAAGTTCCCCACTTGCATTGTTTTTGTTGTTATTGTTTGACTTCTCATCGTTGAATTATATTCATTTAAATGATTTATATTCCTTTAAACAGATTTCTAGGTGTTGAGTAGTTAGACCAGTATCTAAAAAGTAAACACTAGCTTGCAGAATATTCTCATTTTCAGCATTGGGAGTTATTTATATAACCCATCAGTCTCATATCTGATTTTTTTAGTAACATTTTTAATAAAAAGATCCTGGTAGCAGATAGTGAATTTTGTCCCCTCTTTAAAAAACGGTACAGTAATGATTGGTGTAACTAGAAGTCATTATCTGTCATCTTTGTGAATCCATAACAGAGCCACATGCCTGTCAGCAAGTCATGGGTGTAGAGCTACCACCAAGCAACAGAGCTGATGGGTTAGCTTGTCTGGGCTTCCATAAGCTCAGTTGGAGGCTATGCTAGAGCCTTGCTTTTAAATCTTTAAAATGTTACTTTCTAAGCAGAAAAAAATAATTTTTTTCTTAAAGATTTTCTATAAAAATCCAATAAGCAAAACAGTTTAAAATGGAGCTATAGCTGATTGAAATAAAATTGGAAAGTGAAACACTCCCATAATTCCTCTGACTCCAGTAGTTCTTAGAGAGTTTTATAAAATCAGAGCTATAACCATGTAAGGTTTGAAAAACATTGACTTCTTTTATAAAATTCATCAATTTCAGATACGAGTTCTCTTGGAAATGAGGAATTGTTTTTACTATTATAATCTTAATGGCTACTGTTTAAAGCACATTTCTTTTATGTGAAAAAGCACATAAAATTTATGTGTTTTATGTGAAATAATCCTTTGATTTACATTTATATGTTTTATAAGCCTTGGTTTTCTATTTAATAATGTAAGACTTTGAATAGTGTTCTGTATATTTGGCAAGGCCTATACAGAGTGAACAATGTGTCTCTTGCTTGGTAATCGGTATGACAGAAATGTGTTTTATGGAGATGTCCTTTTACCATGGTTAGGGAATGATTGTGAAGGGTGCCCTATGAAGAAAGACTAGCGTTTTGTGAGATGTACCTTGTAATAGTTACAAACGATTGGATTTTACTATGGTGTATGTACCTTCTGTGTTAGACAAATATTGTTTGATAAGCAAGCATTAATTAGCCCAGAAGATTGGTGAGTAATCTTTCATGTGCTAATAGACACATCTTTAGCTGTATAACTCAAGTCCTGCGGTCTACTTACTGCAAACATAGTCTTTGAGCTGCACCTGTCTTAGGCTAGTTCCCTTTACTACTTCTGCAAATTGGTGGTGTTCTCATTACCCCCCTTTCATCTTCACCTGTCAGAACTTAGCAGTTGTTCTTTTGGTGACATGCAGAATTCCTGGTAACCTATTTATTGGCCAATAGCAGCTAATGTTAAAGTGTTTATGTGTTCCCAGCCAACTAAAATGATACTGCTTCATGTTTGACTAGCTACTTTGATGGTGGTATAAAATTAGGGATTGTTCGTTTGTTTTTAATATTCTTAATAGTACAAATCAAGAAGCTAATTCAAGGTTTTTTGTGATGTTATAGGTTTATGAAAGCTTTAAGTTATGCATCATTAGATAAAGAAGATTTATTAAGTCCTATTAATCAAAATACCCTGCAGCGATCCTCCTCAGTTAGGTCCATGGTATCCAGTGCTACATACGGAGGTTCCGATGACTACATTGGACTTGCTCTTCCAGTAGACATCAATGATATATTTCAGGTATCATCCAGTCTATTACTGTTTTCCTATGACCTGGCTTCCTGATGGTTTTTTGTTTGTTTTGTTTTTTAGTGTTCTGTAACTGCTTATTAGAATGTGTAGCTTATAGTGGACATACTTATTATGGGAAAGATAAAGGTTTTGAGGTGATTTTTTCATCTAAAAATGCATTAAGATGAGAATAGCATGTTCTTAGCTGCTCTGTACTTATTCCGCTCCTCTGAGTAAGACTCTTGTTCAGTCTCTGGAGCATTACTCTTTCTAACGGTAATCTAATTGTTTGATTTATATGTAGTCTATAGTAGTTTAGTAAATTCCTAATCATCTTTTAGACTCATACAACTTTTCCTTTTTAGTCATTGATCTTTTTCTCACCTAAAGCAGTCACATGTGATATCTGTGTATACAATTTCTAGTGGGTTATAATAATACTAAATAATACATATTTTCTTATATGACTAAGTATTTTATTCCTTCAGCCTGTTTTTGTTAGTATGTGTGTAGAGTGTGTGTGGTATGGGTGTGTGTGTGTACTTGGGTCTACAACCTGCAGTAGCCAGGGATGCTCATCAGCATCATGCTTATGTACTCCATCTTACTCTTGAGATAGGATTGCTCATTGAATCTGGAGCTCAACTGGCAGCCATCAAGCCCCAGCAGTCGTCCTGTCTCCATCCTTCACAGCCTTTACAAACACATGCACACATGGCCATGGCCAGCTTTTCTGTGGATGGTAGAGATTGAAACTGTTTGCATGCTTGTAAAGCAAGCAAACAAGCACTCTCTTTGAGCCATCCCTAGCTCCTAGATATTTTAGATAAGCACTAAATTTCTTGAATACCCATTTAATTAAACAAGAATAAAGTTAAGACACTAGTTATTTGGTTATGTTTTGTTAATTTTAATCTTCTTTAGTAAACTGCCTTATAGATTTGTATGCTACAGTTATTCTGTTTCTGTTGCATTTCCCTGAATTTTCTTAACATTCATAAGATGAATTTCTTTGTATGATGAAACTGACCCTACTTTGTATGCATTTTAGATAAAGGATATTCCTTATTTTCAATCAAAGCATGTGCCACCAGATGACCGAGGTGCGAGAGCGTTTTCCCACGATGCAGGAGGTAATGTGTGCCCTTGGTTCTCCTGTGACTCCTTACCTTAAAAGTGAAATTCTCTTTTTCGTGAGGTAACAGTAAAAGTTGGGCACACTAAACCAAAATAACTCAGTCAACTAAAAATTAAAATGCAGTTGTTTTCCCAGTTTTAGGGGCCAGCCTCTCCAGTTGATAAAATAGTTCTTTCTTTTCTTAAAGTGCAGGAGGAGTGTTAAAACTTGTCTCCTGGGCCAGAGGCACAGCTGCTTACAATCAACAAAGGGTGGGGGTTGCTTATTTGCCATTGTGTTATTCTGTGCTATGAACTGCTGCATTTGTGAATGTGTGCATATGAACTGTTGATTTAATAGTTTTATAATCTTGTTTTAACATAGACCTCTTAGACTTGATTTTATTTAGGCAATTATCAGGGTTAATGGAAAAATGATACATCAATATAACCTTTCTTGTTTATCTTTAAAAAACTCTATTGAAATAATAAAGGTATATGTGCTATCTGTTGTTATCTTTACAATTTTTAACAAATTATTCTCTTTCTATTAAATGTTGAATCATCAAAAGTTCTAAGTTTTCATCTTTAAAAAGTATTATTTTAAGATGTCATGAAAAAGATCCCAAAGGTGTCTTTATCGGATTGTATTTTTATTTACTTAAACGTGCAGGTCTTCCATCTGGAGCTGGCGGTCTTGTAAAAAACTCCTTTCATTTGCTACGGCAGCAGATGAGTCTCACGGAAATAATGAACTCCGTTCACTCAGACGCTTCTCTGTTTTTAGAGAGCACAGAAGACACTGGACTGCAGGAACACACAGATGACAATTGCCTTTACTGTGTCTGCATTGAAATTCTGGGCTTCCAGCCCAGTACCCAGCTAAGTTCAGTATGTAGTCACTCAGGTGAGTGGTAGCGTCCTTGGAGATGCATCTGCTCCAGTCACAAACCATCCAGCGACCCTCTAATGAGGCCTTCCCACTCCATCTCACTACCTCAGACATAGTCTAGCCCTTTAGCAGCTTCCAGTTGCACTCTTAGTCTAATTCTCTTTCTCTCCACTTTATCTTTTAATATATTATTTAAAATTAATCTGTTTTTAATTCTTTATTGGCTCTGTAGCCCAACACATAAGATTCTTTGTGCTCTGTGGTTTTCATTGTTCTCATTTCTTGTAGCTGGTAGACCATGCTTTACTGACTTAAAGTTTTCAACAACCGCTGGGAATGGAAGTTGTATTTTCCTTGCTATTCCCCCCTATTCTTTCCCACCCCCACCCCCCCAAACACACACCATGCTCTTACATAAACAAACATAGTCTGTCTGGAACGTTTGCCTCATCTCAAATCTCATGTCTGAGAAGTGTCCCGACTCCTAAGCTGAGTGTGGAAATTCCTTCCTTTTTTCTCTCACTGTCTTTGTACAGAGATTTCTTATAACTGTGGTCATTACTCAAGTCATCTTCTGAGCTTACCATGGTGACTTCCTTCAGATCGTGATCTACTATCTTCATTTTCACATCTCTGACAGTAGCTGCTGCCTTGTACACTAGGCTCTTGGTATACATTTATTAGAGAGGGATTAAAGTAGGCACAAATGATCAGTTTCTTAATATGAGTCACCAAAGTGTATATATTAACGATTTCAACTAATGTTTAAAGTGTTTGTGTATATACCTTTTCTTGTTAAATATCAGTTGACTAGCCTCAGAAGTCTAGTGATGACCAGGATTCTTTGCATGACTCTTGTGAAGTTCTCCGTAGGATTTCATAACTTCCCAACTTGTAGCCTATGCCACATGATGGTGCTGGGGAAACACCCAGCCAGGAGTGTGCTTCCTGGGATTTGCAATGGGTTGAGGTTGTGCTTAGAAACTGATCCTCTCAGTGGTTCCATGTCCCAGTATGGGCCTGAATTTGACAGATTCCTAAACTAGGTTTTTCACACTCTGAACCCAGGGCCTGTGTATGCTATGATTTTTTAAAGCAAACTATGTTTATTTGATTATTTTTTGAGTTTGTAAAATATTAGATGTACTACACACCATAAAAAGAGGGCATGTTAGGTCAGTTGGCGATATTGTTTATGATTTAGGGCCTTCAACTTTTCATTTACTCACTCAACAGTGTGTGAATCATTTAGTATGGAGCTCTGTAGTTAGAAAAAGCACAGGGAGACCAGCCACCAAAACTGTCTTACGCAAAAAGAACACAGCCAGAATTAGATACCTGACTTCAGTCCTTACAGAGCTGTAGTAATCCAAGCAGCATGAGGTCAGCATTAAGCACAGACACAAAGACTAAAAGCACAGAGTGGAGGAATTGGAAGCCAGCCTGTGTATCTTCAGCTCACTGCTCTTCTGCAAAGGTGCTAAGATCACCTGCTGGAGAGAGGGCAGTATTTGTGATAAAGGGAAACTGGATATCCTCCAGAAAATAAATAAGATTAGATGTCTCACTCTGAACAAATGTCTCAACTTCACATGGACCTTAAATGTGAAAGTGCTGAAGATCTGTCAGCAGTTTCAGATGGGTGAGGATCTTTGGGAATCCCAACTGCCACCCCACTCACTACATGCTCTAAAATAACACTCTAGGGAACAACAGCTAGAATGTCCAAAACTATAAGAAAACATTTTTATGGAGAAAAGGAAATGAATGAAAGAACATACAGAAATTAAGCAAATACTTACAAACTACATATCTGATAAGAAATTAATATACAAGCTGGGTTTAATTGCACACAACTTTAATCCCAGCATGTGGGAGGCAGATGCAAGCGGATTTCTATGAGTTCAAGGTCAGTTTGATCTACAGAGTGAGTGTCAAGACAGCCATTGCTACATGGGGAAACACTGTCTGGAAAAGAAAATTTAATATACAGCATTTAGGATAAAAATGTGCAATAGACTTCTCGGGACATATAAATCAAAACCACCTTGAGCTATCAGCTTACAATAGTGAGAATACTTGTCAAAATATCAAATGGTGGCAGATGCTGGCAAGGACAGGAAGAAAAGGAAAATCCTGGCACACTGTTGCTTGGAATGTAAATTGCTACAGCTACTAAAGAAAGCAGTAAGGAAGAATCTCAGAAAAGCAAAATGAAACTAACCATACAGCCCAGCAGTCCCATCACTTAAGAGAGATAAAGGAAGTGAAATCAGTATGTCAAAGATAACGCCATCCGTAATGAACTGCAGTTCACATAGCCAAGAAGTGCAAACAAATACGTAATTGATGAATGGATAGGGAATATGTGGTGTATATATTCATATGCTGAATATTCAGCCAGTGTCTTCTAAAAACAGAAAAGGGGAAGAAAAAGTAATGGTAGGAGAACCAGCTATGAAACTCATAGACTGGAGGTGTACCTAAGACTGCAGCTGGAGGACAGTCAGGAGACTGACTGAGGTGGTTTTCAAATTATTTTGAGCTCAAAATTAAATGCTTTAAGTGTGAGAAGACCAATGCTGTATGAATGAGGCTGTTGAGGAATCATGAGGCAGAGCTCGGTCCATTTGACCTTCTTCCCAAAGTTACAGAGGGTTAGGAAATGCCAGGAAGTCCAGGACATCCAGCCAGCAAGAGCGCAGATGTAAACAGCAGAGGCCTGGGTTTCAAGTACCAGGGAGGCTGACATAAAAACCAAAGCTACAGAGAAACCCTGTCTCAAAAAACCAAAAAAAAAAAAAAAAAACTGGGCTGTTGTCCTTGTTGGACAGGTAAAGCCCGCTCTTCTTCCACCATTCCCCCAATCAGTCCCAACCCCACCTGTCCCCAGTCTACCTATGAAATCTATTCTGTTATTCTGTTTACCCTTCCCAGGGAGAGCCATGTGTCCTCCATTTGGGAATTCCTTGTTATTTAGCCTCTCTGAGTCTGTGGATGATTTTAGATGATTTTACTTTACAGCTAATAACCACTTATAAGTGAATAATGCAATGTTTGTCTTTTGGGGATTGGTTTACTTCAGGATGATTTCCTGCAAATTTCATGATGTTTTTGTAAGCATTGTGTAAATGTACCTACTATATTTTCTTTATCCATCCTTTGGCTGAGGGACATCAAAGTGGTTTCCAGTTTGTGCTTATTACAAATAAAGTTGCTGTGAACAGAGTTGAGCAAGTGTCTTTGTGGTAGGATGGGGTATCCTTTGGGTATATGCCCTGGAGTGGTATAACTGGTCTTGAAGCAGATCAATTTCCAGTTTCCTGAGGAATCTCCATATTTATTTTCATAGTGGCTGTACAGATTTGCACTCCCACCAGCAGTGGAGGAGTGCTCCCCTTGCTCTGCATCCTCTCCAGCATAAGCTGTCACTTGTGTTTTTGATCTAAGTCATTCTGAAAGGCATAAGATGGGATCTCAGAGTCGTTTTGATTTACAGTTCCCTGATGGCTAAGGATGTTGAACAACTCCTTCAGTGTTTCTCAGCCATTCTCCTCTGTTGAGAATTCTGTTTCGATCTATACCCCATTTTTAAAATTGGATTATCTGGCTTGTTAATGTCTTGTTTTTTGAGTTCTTCATGTATTTTGGATATTAGTCTTCTATCAGATGTAGTATTTGTTGTTTTTTTTTTTTTAAAAAAAAAAAAACTTTTCCCATTCTGTAGACTGCTGCCATTTTGTCCTTTTGCCGGTGTTCTTTCCTTTACAGAAGCTTTTCAGTTTCATGAGGTCCCATTTATTAATTGTCTTTCTTAGTTCCTGCACTATTGGTGTTCTGGCCTATCTTATTGGAGGCATACTTTTTAAATTGAAGTTCTCTCCTTTCAGATGACTTAGCTCTTAGCAAGTTGACATAAAAGTATCTAGCACAGCAGACATGGAAGTAGTGATCTAGGAAATACTTGAAGGTGAAATAAAAAGTAGTACAAAGTTTATTTTGTGGGAACCAAATTTGGTGAGGTTGAACCTCTTTTTTTCCCATGTGTATAATGAAGAAAGGGAAGAAGGCCAGCTTTTAGAAGTCTTACTTTCTAGCTGAGTGCTTATCTTTTCTGTCTGAGTTGCTCTTTTTTCATAAGCAGGATAGATGCTTAACTAATTTTTGTTTTGTTTTATAGTACTGAGCTTGTGTGATTTTTTTTTGTAGGCTGCCCAGTGTTACTTTCTGAAAGAATGATCAACAGCTTTTTCATATTTGTTTTCATCATTGATTTTTAATGCCTAAGGATTTTTCTTTTTTTTAAGTATTTATTTATATTGATTTTATTGAGCTATACATTTTCCATTTTTCTCTGCTCCCCACCCTTCCGCTCCCCTTCCCTTCAACCCTCTCCCATGGTCCCCATGCTCCCAATTTACACAGGAGCTCTTGTCTTTTTCTATTTCCCATGTAGATTAGATCCATGTATGTCTCTCTTAAGGTCCTCATTGTTGTCTAAGTTCTCTGGGATTGTGAATTGTAGGCTGGTTTTCTTTGCTTTATTTTGAAAAAAGCCACTTATGAGTGAGTACATATGATATTTGTCTTTCTGGGTCTGGGTTACCTCACTCAATATGGTGTTTTCTAGATCTATCCATTTGCCTACAAATTTCAAGATGTTATTTTTTTTTTATGCTGTGTAGTACTCCATTGAGTAAATGTACCACATTTTCCTTATCCATTCTTCGATCGAGGGGCATTTAGGTTGTTTCCAGGTTCTGGCTATGACAAACAATGCTGCTATGAACATAGTTGAGCACATGTCCTTGTGGTATGAATGAGCATTCTTTGGGTATATACCCAAAAGTGGTATAGCTGGGTCTTGAGGAAGGTTGTTTCCTAATTTTCTGAGAAATCACCATACTGACATCCAAAGGGGTTATACCAATTTGCAGTCCCACCAGCAATGCAGGAGTGTTCCCTTTACCCCACAACCTCTCCAGCATAAGTTGTCATCAGTATTTTTGATCTTGGCCATTCTTACAGGTGTAAGATAGAATCTCAGAGTTGTTTTGTTTTGTATTTCTCTGATGACTAAGGATGTTGAGCATTTCCTTAAGTGTCTTTCAGCCATTTTAGATTCCTCTGTTGAGAATTCTCTGTTTAGGTCTCTACTCCATTTTTTTTATTGGATTATTTGTTCTTTTGATGACCCCTAGGGATTTTTTTGAATGTATTGTTTTTTTATTTGTTCATGTGTTTGTATATCGTGTATACACATGTATGCCGATATACATGTGCCACAGGACCCACTTGAAGATCAGAGGACAACTAATTGGAGTCAGTTTTCTCCTTCCACCCTGTGGGTCCTGGGGTCAAACTCAGGTAGTATGACTTAGCAGCAAGCACCTTTTTGACCCATTGAATCATACAGCTGGTCCATGCCCAAGACAATTTTAAACCCAAAAAATTTTTTCACTTAGATGTTAGGTTGACTTTAAAATCCCACGCTGGGGCCCTTAGCAGTACACACAGAGAAAAACAAGAAGGGGAAATAAAGTAGGAGGAGGTCTGAAATGACTGTAGACTTTTCATTGCGTTTACTGTTGGGTGATGCATTCAGGTAGAGGTAGAAAGGATGGGAGGAGAGAAGATAATAAAGTATGTTCTACATATTTGCTTGAAATTTAATGGCATATTCCTACATTGGTACTCGGGAAAAAAAAAACTCTGGAATATAGCAGGTTCACTTGTGTGAACACTCATTATCTAAGCAGTCTAGATTTACTTCAAAAATCTTCATGAGATAAATTGTTGAGAACGGGAAAGGAGTTCTCTTAGAGTGTGCAGTCTTAGCATAGGAATGGAGCTCTAATCGAAATGCTTTTACCTTCAGACCTTCAAGATATTCCGTATTCTGATTGGTGTGAGCAGACAATCCACAATCCCTTAGAAGTGGTTCCCTCCAAGTTCTCAGGGATTTCTGGGTGCAGTGATGGTGCGTCTCAAGAAGGCTCAGTCAGTAGCACCAAAAGCACAGAGTTGCTACTGGGTAAGTCTGCATCCTTAATAAAACTGTATTCAGTTGATTTTGCTTGTTAGCATATGTACTGTAATTTAGAGTTGTCTCTATGGTGATATTTCATTTGTATTTTAATAAATAAAGCTTGCCTGAAATTCAGAGTAAAACAGCCGTACTGGTCAGCCTTACAGACCAGGCAGTGGTGAAACCCCAATAGCCACATTTATTTGTCATAGAAACCAGGCAATAGTGGTGCACGCCCTTAATCCCAGAACTAAACTGGGAGGAGACAGCTCTCAGACATAATCTCCTTCTGAGATTCCTGGAGGCACCATTTCGGACTGAGGTAGAGGTAGGAGCCAGTGGCTGGCTGTTTTGCTTTTCTGATCTTCTTGTTGAACCCCAGTTTTTGTCTCCAGGTTTTATTAATTGTGCTACATGTTTCAGAGCTACGACAGGTCAATATTAGTTAGACACTTAGCAGATTCTTAAATACTGCACCTAAGACAGCCATTCACAGGTTCCCTCTCAGTGATCTTCTTCTATTAGAGCTGTTTCTAGATCATTGGCAAATTATGTGCAGTTGATTCCAGTTTTAGTTGCTTATGTAGTTTGAAAACAAATACCATGAACTGTAATCATTCTGCATTGTGATCCGATGAATGACCTTACACTGACATCTTCATTTCAGGTGTGAAAACCATTCCAGACGATACTCCAATGTGCCGTATCCTGCTTCGTAAAGAAGTGCTAAGATTAGTTGTCAATTTGAGCAGCTCGGTTTCTACCAAGTGTCATGAAACAGGGCTTTTGACGTGAGTACTGCTTGAAGGCTGGCAGTTAGTTCTACTTTGTCAGTTGCAGGAAAACACTTGGGTTGCTTAGAGTTGCACAACAACAGTCACGGGCTGCGTTTCCATCTGAGGGGCTTCGCAGTGATGCCTCAGCCTGCAGAACAGGTTGAAGAGCAGAGTGGACTCCACCTAGACTTTCAAACAAGTCTGCAAAGAGGGAAAACTATCTAAAAGCTGGGCCACTCTTGTCTCTTTTTTAAGTCTTGATAAAATTGGGGGGGGTAAATAAATAATTATTTATATTAAATGTATAAATTCCTAAATTCCAGCTTCTGGTATAATTATTGGTGGCTGTAACTTGAATATAAAAACAAGCTTTTTAGGTTTTTCAATCATTTTTCAAGAAAATGAAGACCTAATTGAGAAGCAAACTTAAGTTACAAACTGGTGGGGTTTCCTAATTCAATTATTTTTCTCTTTTTCTTCTTTTAAGAGAAAAATGTAGAATTTTTAAAATTGTTTTTCTAAGTCAGAGCAGCCTGATAAATGAAAAAATGATTTTTAGCAATTCATCTTTATTTGCACTATTTAAAGTAGTGGTTCTAAAAAGAAGTGTTTTATAAAAGTAATTTGTAATAAGCCAGGTATAATGGCATACACCTTTAGTGCGGGCACTTGGGGAGGAGGATCTGAAATGCTAGGGACATGGAATCGTTTTCAAAGCTGGCCTGGACTACATGAAACTCTGTAGCAAAAAGGGAAAAAGAGCAAGACAGACAAACCGACTTAACTTATTAATCTACCACTCCTAACATTCCATCTAATCGATATCTGGTGAAAAAAGTTAGCAGAAAGTATCATTGTTGAGGGTTAAATGAATAAATTTTGGTTATAATATTTATCATAACATTGTTTTTCTTTTCATTTTAGAATTAAAGAGAAGTATCCTCAAACATTTGATGACATATGCCTTTATTCTGAAGTTTCTCTTTTGTTATCACACTGCACATTTAGACTTCCGTGCCGGAGGTTCATACAAGAGTTATTTCAGGATGTACAATTTTTACAAGTAAGTGAGACTATATTTCTGAAATTTGTCTCCCAGAATTATTCTATACTTGAAGTAAGCTGAAAGAGTATATGTACATTATATGCATTTTTATTAAAAAAAAAAAAAAGTTAACAGTTTGTCACTTTTTCCTAGATGCATGAAGAAGCAGAGGCTGTGTTGGCAGTTCCACCAAAACAACCTGTAGTTGATGAATCTGCTGAATCCTGACCTCATATTTATGATGTTTATAGCTAGATACGATATATTTATCCATACTTGTGGACTTCCTAAAGGCCTCACAAGACACTGACTGGCTGTCAGTGAGACAGAGTATCTTCTGACGCTGTCCCAGCAGTCCTTGGTACAGAACAGTTGCAACTGCTGACGTCCCTAACCAAGCCGACTTCCTCTTCCCTTTGGGGTCCTTCTTGGGGTTCGTGATTCAGTACCACAGTTTTAATTTAGTTGCCACCATATTCAAGAGCCAAGCACTGAATAGCTACATAGGTTTTCTATTTTTTTATTTTAAAAGCATAATGGCAGTGGAATAAAAGCAGGACATGAAGAAGCACCCTCCACACAGTTATTTCTGACTGCTTTTTAGTTAAGGGTGAATTAAAAAGATGCCTTGTTTGTTAAATAATTCGTGGAAGCCAGGAGTCACTGTCTCTGAGGCTGCGTCCTGTTATCCCATAGGCTGTGCTGTAACTGACGGTATCAGAGGGTAATCATTGGCCCTTCTACATTTCCTTAATGTTTGTAACACTACTTCAGAGGTTTCTCACCTCGGAGCAGAAGAAGAGCCTCAACAATTGGAACTTAAAAGTTATTTTATGTTGCTAAATGCATAAAGATGCTCCTTGTTTTCCATCTCTTCAGGTTTGTTGTAGTATGTTGTTAAAGGTTACTTGTACCAATTAAGGTTTTTCACTACAGTTGTTGATTAAAGTAAATAGTTCAGTTGAAATACTTTCCATAGTCCCATCTCCAGAGTGCAAATAAATAAATAAATGGTTGGATGGATGCCCAGTGTACCTCCATGCTAATCAGCTCCTCTCATCACCACTTTAAACAGATTGAGCAAGTGTTAGTAGTCTGGACCCCAAGCAAAGCAAAGCATTAAATGATACTTCCAATCTCTTAAATAAAAAACAAGTTTGCCTGAAATTTATACATTCCATGTAAAAATGATGAGCCATATCTAAAAAAGCATTATGCATCGTTGACACACATTAAGATTAAAATTTGTGGTGAAAAGCCTTAATTACTAAATTTTACAGCAGTGATAATGCAATTTTTGTTAGTGTTCTTGTTTTGCACAAAATAATGTCAGTTATAGGTGAACTGAAGAATACAGTCATTGCCTTTATCACATTTGTGAAGTTGATGAAGGCAAGGTTTTGTCTGTCTAATTTGTGTATGTATAAAGATATTTGAAAATCTTTACATAAATTAAACATATATGCAAATTTGTACATAAAGTAGCATGAACATCATTGCTAGAATGCTTGTAAGTAAAAGGGTTATCTTTTTTTTTGAAATCATATATATAGAAAAAGAACATCCAGCTGGACTGACTAGGACCCTTTTGTAATTCCTTTGTGTAGCTCGTTTTTAGAGTTACACATCAGCTTTAACACCGCCATAGCCACCAGTCCTTATCTTCCCATGTTGCACACCCTTTTCATAATGGGCTTGTTTGCAAGATCTCTGTAGAGTAGCCTGTGAACTAGGAGACAACTCACAGAGGCTTTTTTTAAACTGGCACTGAAAGTTCCCACTAGGATGAAGCATTTCATCTCCCTTCCCAACTCCTCTTTGACTGCACTTCAGCAAGTTGTTCGTACATGCATTGTGTAGCAACTTCATGATGATAAAGCAGACAAGGGCTCTAAACTGCTGCTCATGTTACAACTCAGAAAATTCAGTGAGAGTAAAACTTCAAGCTTCATCACTGAACCCAAGCGTCTATTTAAATGTCAACAGTACTTCTAAGAGCATTGCCTATCGCCTTGGTCTTTGGTCTTGGGTAATGAAACTGCCTTTCCAGAGAACCAAATGTCAGAGATACTAGACCAAATAGTGGTTACAATTCCAAAGGAAGGAATGTAGTCTTACTCATAATGGGATTAACATTTTAGACATTCATTTCAACACTACCTCAGTTAACATAGAGTATAAAATCTGTGGTTTCATCCCTCTAAAATAACAGTTATTATTTTTGTTTGTGTTTCATCACACAAAACTGTCCCCAGCCTTGCACACCTAAGTCAGCCATCCTGAAATTAAGGCTGTGCCTAGTGTCCTAAGCAGGTTCTTTGTTTTGTTGTTTTGTTTTGACTTTTGACTGTTACTTTGAAAAGATATGTGTATGTATCATCATCTGCCTATAGCACTTACTTTGGGAAGATATCAGAGTTTTGTGATTATCAGTATATTTGAGGAAATTATCTATGTTTAAATTTATAGTGCTATTTGGTTTAACCATGGTTTCACCGAGAGGTGTAATACATTTCCTTTAAGTACTTACTTGTATAAAAGTAGACTTTCATGATGAAAACTACATGCAGTGCCAAGTGATTAGTGTAGGCGTTTAAGACAATTAAATTATAGCAGAAGAAGTTAGGAATGATGTCAATGGTAATAGAAATCATTGAGAAAATCAACTATAAATGATAGATATTACCAAAATAATGTCAATACAGTAGTTTTTCAAGAGTTTAGAATTAATCTTAGTCATATAAATTTGTACTGTTCGTAATTATTTAATAATTTGGAGGAGTTTGAACAGTTAAGCTGGTTGTAAACTGTGAATTTCTAACTGTAAATTGTCATTTCTAATTGAATTTTTTTGAAGAACAGATTTCAGCTTCACATACTAAGTAAATACTGACAAATAAGGAGAAATTTAGTATTTATAAGGAAATAGGCTCTAAATTTTCTTATCCTTTTTTTCTGTTGTGGTTAGGGTATATTGGAGGAGCAAAATGTTCTCCCTAACTTAAGTGTTCCTAATAGAATAATGAATAGACATCCCATAAGACAGTGATATTGCAAGGAAGTGCGTGCATTCTTGCTATGGTGATGTGGCAAAGTCACTGGGAGGTGTGTCTCCAGCAGACATGTCTTCAGCCGTATTCAAAGTCACTGGGAGGTGTGTCTCCAGCAGACGTATCTTCAGCCATGTTCCACTCTTGTCCAGTGCTTGAGATGGGTAAAGCTGAATTCCATGTTACCATGGCCGAGTGTTCAAAGTGGGATATCACTGTGTATTTAGATTTGTCTACTGCTATTTATAGACATTTTTATTTCATTCCTTTCAGAGGATGCCTTTTATGCCCCATATCAAAGCACAGATCATTAAGCAATAAGAAACAAAATTGTCTGTCATTCAAATTATAATTGCGATTATTCTTGTGTGGTAAGAGTGAGGTGCTAATTTTGTGTGTGAAGAATTTGTGACCACTTTGGAAATATATTTTGGAAGTAAGGTTTTTTTACCCTTCCTTTAGACTTTTACTTCCATTTTGTCTCAAATTCACAATCCATGAAAGAAAAGTAGAATTGTTTGAGAGACTTCTAAGAAAAGCTGCTTGCAATGTATATTTCAGATTTTCCTATGTGTGGGTTGGCAAAGGGCTCCATTTTCTCTGTATAGACAGAGTCTGTTGTTCCCATCTTAACTTTGAGAGTTTCACTACACCAAGTCCCACTTCCAGGTGTGCCAGTGAACTCGAGGGCAGTGCTTACAAAGGACACAGAAGTCTGCACAGGGTCCCCGGGGGTGTCTCATTTCTAGTACATTTATACGACTCACAGAATGTGGGATTTCTCCTCTTTGGAGTATTTTTATAGTTAGGTGGACAGCTCTGCCACAGATGCATGGATTGCACATTTGACTCTGTAAGACACTTAATATGAAAAGTTATGCCAAAAAGGAAGCATATCCTACAAAAATTTTCCCATTTAACTAGGTTGGTTTAGCACAAAATGCAAAGTCTTGGGGCAGAGAGGGAGTAGTGAAAATTTTTTATGAACAATTATTGAAAAATGCTCCATTACTGGCCTGTCAGAAACCCTAACAATGCATTGTGAAACAGATGATGTAAATTAAATTAAATTAGCTTTGAAAAGTGGTAAGGGATGGTAAAGAGAATCTTAGACTCAATGCTCTCTGACCACATGACCTTTTTTATTTAGTAATACGCTGCTACATTTTTGGAGGTTCTGGTGTTTGTAGGTCACTGAACAGACATTGAAATCTGATTTATATTGTATAACTGTAACATAGAAAGAAAAAGTATTTATATATTTTCCTTAAGAATATTTCATTGAGTTGTATATAATTTAAATAAGATATGTCCCCAAATGGTTTTGCTCACCTTGATTTTTTGTTGTTGTTGTTGTGGTTTTATTGTTTTTGTATAATGTGTACAGTTTATGTTAAGGGCATTAAGGCCTCCTGAAACATAATCTTATCAAAGGGATTCATTGTTAATAAAATGTACTTAAAATTCTTAAACTTGTGGTGGTGTTGCTCTATTTGAAAATGTGTGTCACCTGGGCCTTCCTTGACTTGAATCACATGATACTGACGTTGACAGGTATGATTTCCAGTGAGTGAGCCTTTTTGATCCCTAAATGGGGATGGTCTTGTCCTGTGAAAAGGGGCTGCTCCCAATTTTAAAGTAATTGTTTTCCTTGGTATTCTCTAGAACTTATCTGACATAGTTACTTTTAAATTTGAAATCATTATTGTGAAGGTTTGGAAATAGAAATGTGTTTAGCTAGAGCAGCTTTGGACTTCCTGAGATAGTAAGAAAGTGATGTGTAAGTGGACTGGCTCAGCTCTTCCCACACTGCCCTGACCAGGCAGAATAGCACCCTGCAGGGAAAGAGCCAGTGTGAAAGTCGAAGTTGCCAAAGTATATTCCCCACCGTAAGCAACCTTGTTTCAGATATTTGGCCTGTAGACACCTATGTATGAGTGTGTCATTGTTCTCACCTTATACCGTGTTTTTATCAAAATTGTAAAATGAAAAGAATGCCTAATTTGTCATAACTGAATAAGAAAATAATAGTTTGTATTTTTTTAAGCTTTACCATATGAAAGTATTCAAATAACTGTAGAGATAACTGTAGGGATAAGTCCCGCCCCTTGGGGGGCGTGTTCGCCTCGGGCTAATGTTTGTCTATAAATTTGGATCGTGCTCCCAGCCTTTGCTTCTGCTTTCCTGGTCTCCACAGGAACGGTGGTTCTGTAAGTCTATTTCTACATTAAAGCTATATATATATATATATATATATATATATATATATATATATATATATATATATTTACAATCTGTCTGCATTCGTTTACGCCGCTACATTTTGGCATCCAACATGGGCTATTTTGCTCCCGACTCAAGCAGGTAGCCCGCTAGCTAACACAGCACCCTCCCAGGTGCTGTTTTTTAGTTCATGACTCGGGCCCCAGTGCCGAGCCCTAGACACACACGGCCACACAGGCCCATTCTGCCTGCCTTGGCTAAGTTTGCAGCGGAACCCCACTGCCTGAATTAGCAGAAGCTCAAGTACTTGTGGTTTTGCAACAAAAGCCGCCACAGTGGCAGATTTGGTCTGATACAAAGTGACTTGGCCGGGCAGTGGTGGCACACGCTTTTGATACCAGCACTTGGGAGGCAAAGGCAGGCGGATCTCTGTGAGTTTGAGGCCAGCCAGGCGGTGGTAGCACACGCCTTTAATCCCAGCACTTGGGAGGCAGAGACAGGCAGATCTCTGTGAGTTTGAGGCCAGCCAGGCGGTGGTAGCACACGCCTTTAATCCCAGCACTTGGGAGGCAGAGACAGGCAGATCTCTGTGAGTTCGAGGCCAGCCTGTTCTACAAGAGCTAGTTCTAGGACAGGCTCCAAAAGCACAGAGATCACCACTGGCAGGAATCGATCATTGCAGGTAAAAAAAATTTATAAATAAAATGTCTGAACACATTAGTATTCAAGAATTTAACAGTTTTTTTTTAATTGTACCATGTGGGAGATTTTACAAGAGGTGTCTATCACCCCACATCTATGGATCCTTCTGGGATTCGTAGTTTTCATTGTCACTAAATGGTTTGATAATAGAAATATGATAAAGTCTTTACGAGACGAATCCAGGATTCTTAAGGCAGAGATTGAACGCTTAAAAACAATTGAGAATGACAACAATCTTCTCAAGAATCAGTTTGAAGTTCTCCAGGCTGATGTTAAGGAGAAATTCATTACTATGGAAGAGGGAACAACTGATTTGGATCGTAAGCTTCAGTCCCTTTCAGTAGGAAATGAAACATTAGTGGCTGATATTAAGGAGAAACTCATTACTATGGAAGAGGGAACAGCTGAATTGGATCATAAGCTTCAGTCCCTTTCTGTAGGAAATGAAACATTAACTGAGAGAATCAAAACTGCTGAATGTGACAATCGGATTTTGTCTAAAGCTTATGACAGATTGACGGAAAGATTGCCAATACAAGAAGGCACGGTTTATGCCATAAAAAATTATGTCCAAAGATGAGATGTTATCTCTAACGGACAAACTTCATACTTTAGAATCCTCAATGAAGGTTTTGGAACATAATTCTGGACAGGAGATTGAGACATTGCAGAAGGCAATGGTGAATAGAAATGAAAAGATTGAGGAATTTCTAAATTCTGATGAAGAAGAGCAAAGGGTAGAAAGGCAAATTTTAACTACATCTGTGGGTAAATCTCTCCGGGACAATTTCCACAACGCTCTACCTACAGCTCTAACTGCCTTTCCAGTAATAACAACAGAGAAGGTGATTGGTTCCAAAAACCCTAGGGTCATCAAGGAGGATACATGGGAGCCTGTCCATATGAATGATCTCAAGGAAATAAAACAGGCTGTCATGACTTTTGGGATGCATGCCTCTTTTGTTAAAGAGATGCTAAGAACTTGGGCCACGACAAGCAGAGCAACCCCCTCGGACTGGCTCCAGCTGAGCTCTGCGGTACTTGAGAGTGGACCGCCATTGAAATGGAAATGCTTATTCAGGCAAGAGGCTAGACTCTTAGAACAGCAGGAAAAAGCGAAGGGAATTGACATTTCCCTAGATAAAATTCTAGGTGAAGGGCTCTTTTCCGACCCTCAGGAACAAGCTAATTAGGATGAAAACACACTCTCCATGTGTACTACAGCAGCCTTAAGGGCTTGGGACAGGGTACAAGACCCAGGACAGAGAATGGAATCATTTGTCAGAGTTAAACAGGGTCAGAGAGAACCATTTAGTGACTTTTTACAAAGATTAACTAAGGCTGTACAAATAGGGATATCTGTCCCAGAAGCAAGACGTATAATGATTGAGTCTCTGGCTTATGAAAATGCAAATGTGGAATGCAAAAGGATTTGGGGGCCTTTAAAGATCAGCGCCCTTGGAAGAATGGGTCTTGCATACACTCAATGTTGATACATTTGATTATGGCACTGAAGCATGGGTAGAAGAAGCAATTTCCAAAGGTAAAAGGAGACACCAGAATACCAAATGTTTTAATTGTGGCAAAATGGGTCATATGAAAAGGAATTGTAGACAACGGATTTTCAGAAATAATAATAATAATGCATCTTCTAGAAATAACAGAAATAGGACTCAGCCTTCAGGTTTATGTAGAAGATGTGGAAAAGGCAGACATTGGACGAATGAATGCAGGTCTACAAGAGATAGACAAGGCAACCTGATACAGTCGGGAAATGTGAGAGGGGGGGCCTCACAGGCCCCCATGGCAAACATGGTTCAGTCATTTCCAGTTTCTGCAGAGAACGTGCCTCATCAGGACAATTAGGAAGCCCCATGCCTACTGTTACAAGCAATAATGATCAGAAAGATAAGTTACATGTGTTTTGGCAAACTTCTATAAATGATCAAAGACCTAAACTGAGAGTGTGTGTAAATGGCATTTTTATTACTGGCCTGCTGGACACAGGTGCTGATGTAAGTATCATTACCCCAGAATCTTGGCATCTGTGCTGGCCTCTTCAGAATGTAAATGTTCAGCTCCTGGGAATTGGAACCCTATCTCCAGTAAGGCAGAGCACGAGATGGGTTGAATGTATAGGGCCAGAGGGACAAATAGGAAAATTAAGGCCATATGTAGCCAATATCGCAATGAATTTATGGGGTCGTGACCTATTACAACAATGGAATTCCAAAATTAACATTCCTGCTACTTCTAGAGCCTATATTTCTGAGAATAATATTAAAAGATATTACAAACAGAGAAAACCGGCCATTCGGGCTGTACAAGAACAAGCAATTGATGTCCCTTCAGAGATACCAACAGCCTTGCCTCTAAAATGGTTGACTGAGAAACCAATATGGACAAAGCAATGGCCTTTAGCTGAGGAAAAGTTACAGGCTTTAGAACAGCTGGTACAAGAACAATTAGATGCTGGACATATAGAAGAATCTACCAGCCCTTGGAATTCTCCTGTATTTGTGGTTAAGAAAAAATAAGGTAAATGGAGAATGGTGACAGATCTCAGGGCCATCCACAAGGTTATTCAACCTATGGGCCCTCTGCAATCTGGAATTCCTTTGCCCTCTTTATTACCAAAAGGATGGCCTCTCATAGTTATTGATTTAAAGGATTGTTTTTTCACTATACCTTTGCAAAAAGAAGATAGAGAAAAATTTGTCTTCACAGTGCCTACTTATAACAATTCTCAACCTTCGAGGAGGTACCACTGGACCGTTCTCCCCCAGGGTATGTTAAATAGCCCCTCCCTGTGCCAATATTTTGTGAACCAACCATTGCAAATAATATGCAAGAAATTTCCCAAATCAATAGTATACCATTACATGGACGACATTTTGTTATCTGATTCAAACATGGATACCTTGAACAGACTGTTTGAAGAAATAAAGATACTTTTACCTAAATGGGGATTGCAAATCGCTCCTGAAAAGATTCAGAAGGGAGATTCTGTTAATTATTTAGGTTATAAAATAGGTTTGCAGAAAATTAAGACACAAAAAGCACAAATTAGGAGAGATCGCCTACGGACTCTTAATGTCTTTCAAAGACTGTTAGGAGACATTTCCAGTCTACGACCAGCTATTGGAATAACACCTGATCTAATAATTCATTTGAACAAAACCTTGGATGGTGATAAAGATTTAAACAGTCCCAGAGAATTAACAGCTGAAGCAGAAAAGGAACTGACAATGATTGAGGAAAAATTACAACAGGCACATGTGGACAGGGCGAATCCAGAGCTCGATTGTATTCTCATCATACTACCATCAAAAATTTCTCCTACAGGAATTTTAATGCAGAGAGATGATATTATTTTGGAATGGATCTTTTTACCACATAAACCAAGTAAGAAACTGAAAACTTATGTGGAAAAAGTCTCTGAGTTAATTATAAAAGGCAAGCTGAGACTTCGTCAACTAGCAGGCATAGACCCAGCAGAAATTATAGTACCTTTCACTGCTGATGAACTAAAGAAATTATGGGAAGA